GAATTTTGTCAAGAGAATACGATGGTCATAACAAACACTCTTTTCCAACAACCCAAGAGACGGCTCTACACATGGACATCACCAGACGGTCAACATAGAAATCAGATTGACTATGTGCTCTGCAGCCAAAGATGGAGAAGCTCTATACAGTCAGTAAAAACAAGACCAGGAGCTGACTGTGGCTCAGATCATGAGCTTCTCGTTGCAAAATTTAGGCTTAAATTGAAAAAAGTAGGGAAAAGCACTAGGCCACTCAGGTATGAACTAAATCATATTCCTGATGAATATACAGTAGAGGTGACAAATAGATTTAAGGAACTAGATCTGATAGACAGAGTGCCTGAAGAACTATGGATGGAAGTTCGCAACATTGTACAAGAGGTAGCAACTAAAACCATCCCAAAGAAAAAGAAATGCAAGAAAGCAAAATGGCTGTCTGAGGAAGCTTTGCAAATAGCTGAGGAAAGAAGGGAAGCGAAAGGCAAAGGAGAAAGAGAAAGATACACCCAATTGAATACAGAATTCCAGAGAGTAGCTAGAAGAGATAAGAATACCTTCTTAAATGAACAGTGCAAAGAAATAGAAGAAAACAACAGAATAGGGAGGACCAGAGATCTCTTCAAGAAAATTGGAGATATGAAGGGAACGTTTCATGCAAAGATGGGCATGATAAAGGACCAAAATGGCAGAGACCTAACAGAGGCAGAAGAGATTAAGAAGAGATGGCAAAACTACACAGAAGAACTATACAAGAATGAGCTTAACATCTCAGATAACCACAATGAGATGGTCACTGACCTCGAACCAGACATCCTAGAATGTGAAGTGAAATGGGCCTTAGAAAATCTGAGCAACAACAAAGCTAGTGGAGGTGACAGTATTCCAGCTGAGCTATTCAAAATCTTAAAAGACGATGCAGTAAAAGTGCTACACTCAATTTGCCAGCAAATTTGGAAAACTCAACAGTGGCCACAGGATTGGAAAAGGTCAGTTTACATTCCAATTCCAAAGAAAGGCAATGCCAAAGAATGTTCAAACTATCGCACCATTGCACTCATTTCACATGCTAGTAAAGTTATGCTTAAAATCCTACAAGCTAGACTCCAGCAGTATGTGGATCGAGAACTACCAGAAGTACAGGCAGGATTTCGAAGAGGCAGAGGAACTAGAGATCAAATTGCCAACATACGCTGGATCATGGAGAAAGCTAGGGAGTTCCAGAAAAACATCTACTTCTGCTTCATTGACTATGCAAAAGCCTTTGATTGTGTGGATCACAACAAATTGTGGCAAGTTCTTAAAGAGATGGGAGTACCAGACCATCTCATCTGTCTCTTGAGAAACCTATATGCGGGTCAAGAAGCAACAGTGAGAACCGAACACGGAACCACTGATTGGTTCAAAATTGGAAAAGGAGTCCGGCAAGGCTGTATACTATCACCCTGCCTATTTAACTTATATGCAGAGCACATCATGAGAAAGGCAGGGCTAGATGAATCAAAAGTTGGAATTAAGATTGCCGGGAGAAATATCAACAACCTAAGATATGCAGATGATACCACTCTAATGGCAGAAAGTGAAGAGGAACTAAAGAGCCTCTTGATGCGGGTGAAGAAGGAGAGTGCAAAAGTTGGCTTGAAACTCAACATTAAGAAAACCAAAATCATGGCATCCGGCCCTCTCAATTCCTGGCAAATAGATGGGGAAGAAATGGAGGTAGTGACAGATTTTATTTTTCTGGGCTCCAAGATCACCTCAGATGGGGACTGCAGCCAAGAAATTAAAAGACGCTTGCTCCTGGGGAGGAAAGCTATGGCAAATCTAGACAGCATACTAAAAAGCAGAGACATCACCCTGCCAACAAAAGTGCGTATAGTCCAGGCCATGGTTTTCCCAGTTGCAATGTATGGCTGTGAAAGTTGGACCATAAGAAAGGCTGAGCGCAAAAGAATTGAGGCCTTTGAACTATGGTGCTGGAGAAGACTCCTGCGAGTCCCTTGGACTGCAAGGCGTTCAAACCGGTCAGTCCTAGAAGAGATCAACCCCGACTGCTCTTTAGAAGGCCAGATCCTGAAGTTGAAACTCAATACTTTGGCCACCTAATGAGAAGGAAGGATTCACTGGAGAAGGGCCTAATGCTGGGAAAGATTGAGGGCAATAGAAGAAGGGGACGACAGAGAATGAGATGGCTGGATGGAGTCACTGAAGCAGTAGGTGTGAACTTAAATGGACTCCAGAAGATGGTAGAGGACAGGAAGACCTGGAGGAACATTGTCCATGGGATCGCGACGGGTCGGACACGACTTCGCAATTAACAACAACAAGCTTTAGAAAAAAATCTCTCTTCCTAGATGTTGTTAAACAGTTCCCAGCATTTTCTGTTATTGATCATACAGAATGCAGCTCAAAGGAGCTAAAGCCAACTTAAGCAAAAGAACAATATAATTCCTTTGCTTAATTTACGTCAGGATAAATTGCTGAATACATGAATGGAATGAGTCAAGGATCCCCAAAACATTTCTAACTAATAATAGACCTAGAAATATTTTAAGAGCAAAGCTTGATTATCAGAATTAGTGATGGAAGAATTCCTGTTTCTGTATATTAAAGCTGAAGCCGATAGCTTGGAAATCTCCTTGTTTCTATGTTGGCGATTTTTCTCTGAATTAGTTCCTTCCATTTATTTTGGATTACTCTTCTTATCACTCTCAGACAGCATAGCTCAGTGGTAGTCAACCTGGTCCCTACCGCCCACTAGTGGGCGTTCCAGCTTTTTTGGTGGGCGGTAGGAGTTCAATCGAGCCGTTTAAATTTTTGGATCCATTGAGCCCTCCGATCGGCTCACAGAGCTTTCCAGCAGGCATGGGGTGTTAGCCTCAGCTGTGCGACCCCCCCACGGAGCTCTTGGAGGCCAGAGAACCTCGCTGAAGCGCGCCATCATCGCGAGGCTCCCGTCAACTTTCTCGATGATCCGGATCGCAGCAGAGGCTGCGCAACGAGATAAAACTGCAAGTGCCTCATTTTCCGCTTCGGGGGGGGGGTGGAAATTAAAGGCACAACGAACAACAAGCTTCCTCTTAGAGCCCCTCATGGCTGGGAAGGCCCAGCCAAAATACAAGCGGCCGCTAATTTTGGTGCGGCCGCCATTTTGAGAGCCGCACAGAGCCCTCAGTCATAGAGGTTTCAGGCATCTCTGACAAAAACCAGGCTCTCTCTTCATCCTGCTGTGACAGGCACGGATTGGGGGCAAACCAGACTCCACTGGGCATTCCCTAAATACCAAGGTAGAGGCCATAAAGGCTTTCTCTTCATTCCTGCTTGCCCAGGACTTAAATTGGACATGGAAAAACGATTTGAAGATATTTTGAAATTGAAGGTGTATGACTGGATGAAAAATCCTTTTACCGCAAATATTGAAGAGGCTGATATAACTTGCCAAGAAGAACTGTTAGAAATTAGATATAATGAAGAAAGTAAACATAAATTTGAAAGTGGTGGATATGAAAACCTATGGCAAAGTAAAAAAAATGCCTGCCTTATATCCAAATATGTGGAAAATGATATTCAGTTTATTGATACCTTTCCCTACCTCATATCTTGTGGAATCAGGCTTTAGTGCTGTTAATCATATTATGACCAAAGAAAGAAACCGCCTGAATATTTCCGAAAGAGGAGACCTTCGTTTGTTCCTTACAAAAATTGAGCCAGATATCCAGTATTTAGTTTCGCAGCATCAGCCTCAGGAATCTTATTAATAATTTAATTAATTAAATGTAATTTCATCAGACTTCCTGTTTCTACAGTGGGGCAAAAAAGTATTTAGTCAGCTACCAATTGTGCAAGTTCTCCCACTTAAAAAGATGAGAGAGGCCTGTAATTGTCATCATAGGTAGACCTCAACTATGAGAGACAAAACGAGAAAACAAATCCAGACAATCACATTATCTGATTTGGAAAGAATTTATTTGCAAATTATGGTGGAAAATAAGTATGTGGTCACCTGCAAACAAGCAAGATTTCTGGCTCTCACAGACCTGTAACTTCTTCTTTAAGAGGCTCCTCTGTCCTCCACTCATTACCTGTATTAATGGCACCTGTTTGAACTGGTTATCAGTATAAAAGACACCTGTCCACAACCTCAGTCACACTCCAAACTCCACTATGGTGAAGACCAAAGAGCTGTCAAAGGACACCAGAAACAAAATTGTAGACCTGCACCAGGCTGGGAAGACTGAATCTGCAATAGGCAAGCAGCTTGGTGTGAAGAAATCAACTGTGGGAGCAATAATTAGAAAATGGAAGACATACAAGACCACTGATAATGTCCCTCGATCTGAGGCTCCATGCAAGATCTCACCCCGTGGGGTCAACATGATCACAAGAACGGTGAGCAAAAATCCCAGAACCACACAGGGGGACCTAGTGAATGACCTGCAGAGAGCTGGGACCAACGTAACAAAGGCAACCATCAGTAGCACACTACGCTGCCAGGGACTCAGATCCTGCAGTGCCAGAAGTGTCCCCCTGCTTAAGCCAGTACATGTCCGGGCCCGTCTGAAGTTTGCTAGAGAGCATTTGGATGATCCAGAAGAGGACTGGGAGAATGTCATATGGTCAGATGAAACCAAAGTAGAACTGTTTGGTAGAAACACAATTCGTCGTGTTTGGTAAGTAATTATTATTATATGCTTTAACTTGCTATAACTCTGCTTTATAAATTTTATAAAGTAAAGTTATTTCCCTACTTTATAAATCACCATTACTATGGAACTGGTGGGCGGTTAGAAAATTTTACTACTAACAGAGATACAAAAGTGGGTGGTAGGTATAAAAAGGTTGACTACCCCTGGCACAGCTAATCACTGAGCATTGTAGGAATTGTAGTGTAGAATATCCTAGGGAATATTAGTTTGGTGGGATTGATCCAGGTATTACCTTTCTTGTGAAAAAAATTAACATAAATGTTGGATAATTTGCTTTATCTTTTTCTTTCTTCTTAGAAAGAATTCTGGGCAATTTATACAGGTAAGGGTTATTCATGTGAACACCAATTACCAATTCTGCCACAAATGCCTTCCTAAAATGTGTGCTAATGTTGAGTGCTCATTTTCACAGATCCTGATCAGTGCGACTCCAACCCTTGCCAGAATGGTGGGACCTGCATTGATAGCTATCAAGACTACTTTTGCATTTGTTCTCCAAAACATGAAGGCAGAAACTGTGAAATAGGTAAATGCTTATTAACTTGGTAAAAAAAAATAACAAGTGTTGTGCCCCTGATGATTAGTCATCATTCCATATTCTCTCAGCTATTTATTAAAAAATCTAGATTTTTGAGACTTGAGGTGTCTTTCTTCATATCACCACGGTCTTTTGAGTTTAAATGAAGGCAGGTGCTTATCCAGATTTGCATAATTGTGCAGTCCAAAACAATGGCGATGCAAATTCATTAGCAAGCAGTATCCTTCCTTCTAAGGGGGCTATATGAATTCCAATTAACTCTGTTTTCCATTCTTCCTTAGAATCAAGAAAATGGAAGCTCCTGTTCCAGAATCTGACTTCTTAATCTTCTTTGCCAGCAGCAAATACTTTTCTACCCAAACCAGGAAATGTTAATTCACATCTTTTTCTTTATATTTAGGACCAGAAAGCAAGTTGAAATGCTTTTTTAAAAATGGCAATTGTGAGCAGTTTTGTGTAGATTCCCCAACCACATTAAGGCAGTGCTTTTGTGCAGAGGGATACAGGCTAGCAAGTGACCAAATTTCATGCATTGCAGAAGGTAAGCATGAGTCATCACACTAGTGTATGATCATGATATTCCTTTCCAGATAGATGCCAAAGCATAGACCAGTGTTTCCCAACCTTGACAACATTGGTTGCCCGCTGGGGAATATTGGGAGTTGAACTCCAGACATCTTAAAGTTGCTAAGGTGGAGAAACACTGGTATAGATAGATGCCTTTTTACTATTAATTGACATACAATGAACTGGTCACAATGGTAGAATGAATTACATAAGTGGTCAGCTTCCAGCCTGTTCTAATTTTATCAGTCTCAGTATTGAAATACTGATCTCAATATGGAAAGCAGGAATAGCCTGTGGAGCCAACATTCAAACCCTTGGCCAAAGCTCATCATTAGGACATCTCATTTGCACTGGGAGGGAAATGCCTCATGCCATGACATGCTGGCATTCTTCATGGCTTCAGATAGGCATCTTTCACCAACCAGGAGATGCCAGGGACTAAGTCGTGGTTCTGCCTGCATGAAGCAAAATTGGGCAGAGAGGGTGATGGTGGGTGAGAATAAGATCTTTTTACAGTGAAGACAGATCCTGATCAGTGCGACTCCAACCCTTGCCAGAATGGTGGGACCTGCATTGATAGCTATCAAGACTACTTTTGCATTTGTTCTCCAATCCTTTAGGATTGGACATCTTCTTGGTGTCCAATCCTAAAGGACCATAAGTAATTGGATCCCTCTGAGACAGCCTTGATTTTATTGGAAACATCAATTTTACCTGCTCCTCAACTGTTTGAGCCAGTAGCATTGCTAGAAAATGCAATTCAATACCCTCTCTAAAAGAAAAAACCTTGTTTCGGGAAGTTCATATCTCAGGGAGTTGTTTCACTTTCAAATATTGTCATCTAAACTGGAAATCACAAAACTGTTTCAGAAGAAGGAAAAGGAGAAATTCACCACTGGCTACCATTAATTTTTATAATTAATGATTTTTCATTTTACAGAAAATGAAAGATAGCAATTCACACAGAAACATAGTTGAACATGATTAAGAACATGAAATTATAGAAAATGAACAGCAAATAGACAGTTACTATTACAACTGAAATATTGCAGTATTTTTGTCAAGCAGGGCTACAGAAATAGAGCTGTTGCTGTGTGTATGTGTGTGTTTATGTATGTGCTTATGTATATATGCCTACATGTGTGTGTATAAATGTGTATGGGTCAATACCTGTGTGAATAAAGAAGTCTGCATATTTTGACTTTAAAAAGCATTCACAGTACTACAACTCAAAATATTATTGATTTGCTTGAAAATATTTAATGTGGTTTTGAAATATTATTCTGATTGTAATATTACAGTTGATTATCCCTGTGGGAAAATACCTGTTCTTGCAGAAAGGCCAAATCGACAAGGAAGAATCATAGGTGGTTATGACTGTCCTCCAGGCGAATGTCCATGGCAAGTAAGTGCTTATAAGAATTTAATACACTTTAAATTAAAATCAATTGAATCACTCACATTTGTATAGGCATCCACCCACTTTCTTTGTACTTTGCAAGGTATTTTAGGAGAATGTAGGTCAGATCACTAGTTTCAAAAGAAACAGATTAACTATAGTGCACAAAAACAAATTTATAAAATACTGAAACTATGCAGAATGTTGTGATAGATAAGAGGCCTTGCCCTTTATTTATCCTTCCTTTTCTCCCATTGCAGCCCTTGGCACATCACACAAAATTGGTTTTTTTACACACATAAATAACACCTGCCATATACCAGATGGGTGGAAGATGGCAATAGTTGTCCCCATATATAAAAAAGGGAATAATAAGGACCCTAGTAATTATAGGCCCATTAGCCTGATTGATATTGCAGCAAAAATATGTGCTAGGTACCTTTTGAACAGAATTGAAATCTGGGTAGAGGAAAATAATATCCTTACAGAAGAACAAGCAGATTTTAGACAAAGCCGATCTACTATTGATAACTGCTTTGTCTTGAACCATCTAATTGCCAAATATGCCTATAAGAGGAGACCCCAGTTTGCTACTTTCATAGACCTTACAGCAGCATTTGATATGGTAAGCAGAGAAGTACTATGGAGTAAACTGACATCTCTTAAAATAGAACCTAGACTCCTGGCTTTGATTAAAGCCCTTTACACAAGTACCTGTATGGTATGGGGTTAATGAAGCTCTGACTAACAGGATTCACACAAATAAAGGGATAAGGCAAGGGTGTATCCTGGCCCCATTATTATTTAGTTTATATATCAATGACTTGCCAGGGTTAATGAAGGATCCCATGGTACATATGCCAATGATCCTAAATACTTACTGTAACAGCTTGCTTTATGCCGATGATATGATTTTATTATCATATTCACAAGTAGGATTACATAGGCTATTAAGAAGATTCAGCTCTTACTCTCAGGATAACTCCCTAATCATTAGTAAAACTAAATCAAAAATAATGGTGTTTAATAGATAATGGTTGCTTATAGGGGTGCGGCCTGGGCACTCCCTTTATGCTGCGTTCATGGGTTTGATAGGGATGAGAGGTGAGAAAGTGTAGAGAGGAAGTAGGGCAGTGAGAGGAGAGGGGGAGGGGAAGAGAGTAGGATGGGAGGTGAGAAAGAGGAGGGAAGTAGGGAATGTTTTAAGAGAGGGTGGACGCGGCCTGGGGGGAGTGGGCAGGCCGTATTAATGGTTATTTTATTTCAAAATTGTATTGTACCTTTTTTTTATAATGTTTATATGGAAAAAATAAAAAACTTTTAATAAAAAATAAAAAAAAAAATAATGGTGTTTGGAAGACCCCATCAGAGACATAAGTGGCAATTAGATGGTGAACCAATTAAACAGGTTAACACCTTTGTATATCTGGGCGTAACTTTTTCCAAGACTGGATCTTGGGTTTGCCATCATCAACGAAGTACATTTAGAGCAAAAACCCGCCTGAATCTACTGCTTAAACTAAAGAACCATAGTTACCCAGGGTCCTTAGCCCCATTAATTAAGATATATACAGCTAAGGTTACCACTATGCTCTTGTATGGAGCAGAAGTTTGGGGTCTTTACTCAACCACAGTCTTAGAACAAACACAGTCCCAGCATTTGAGATGTATTCTGGGTGTAGATCCAAGAACATCTGCTACAGCAGTTAGAGCTGAATTGAGAATTCATACAATTCATGCTCTATCCAAAATTAGAGCTTATAACTACTGGTGCAAAGTCAATGAAATGGAGACTGATAGACTCCCCAAGTTATGTCTACTAGAGCAAATAAAATTACAATCACAAATCTCCTGGATCACCAAACTAACAAATTTTGTAAGAAGCTGTGGTCTTCCTGTCTCTTGTGTAACAGGAGAACAATTCAAAAAAAGAGCTGCCCAAAGAATTAAGGATATAGAAGCACAAAATGATATAGTGATCCTTAGTAAGGTGGGTAACTTGAAATGGCTGAGTAAATACAAACGTACTTTTTAAGTAGACAGCTATTTGAAGTTATAACTGCAAAACACCTTAGGGAGATATTTACATGAGCAAGATTCGAACAGCTTGACACAATGGTCAGATATGGGAGATTCCATTCTATGCCTTACAATGAGTGTCTCTGCATTTGTCGAGCGGCAGAGGTAGAAGACCTGGCTCACATACTATTTGATTGTTGCCTGTACAAGAGGGTGAGAGACAGGTACCTTGGTCTTTATACCAAATGAATGACTCATTGGGATCCCCATATCAAAACAACTTATCTTATGTGCGGCCAGAACTTGAAAATCACATTTAACACAGCACAGTATTTAAACAAAATGGTTCAGTTGAGATCTGCATATGTGGGACTGATTGGGGTAGATTGCAAGAGTGACTCCAAGATATAATTTTATCATATTTTATCTATATTTTAAATCACTGTACTCTATTTTAATTTCATTTTAGACTGTATTTTACTCAAATTTCATTTTAAGTCATATTTTACTCTAGTTCCATTTTAAACTGTATTTTATCAAATTTCATTTTAAATTGCTTTTATCAAACTTTAGTAATAATTTGTTGCTGGAATTTTGCACTTTGATATGGACCAAGGGCTAATCAATAAAAATTTATTATTATTAAATTAAATGCAGCCTTTAACCTAAAAATGCTTGTCCATCTGTTCTCTGGTCTGGATGATACAGCAAGATTACTCCTTCATAATATGCAAGTAAATCATACGATTTGATTATCAAATATTTAGGCTCTCATAATAGACAATGGAAATGAAAAATGTGGAGGTGTTCTGGTTGCTCCGTCCTGGATCATTTCAGCAGCCCACTGCTTTCATCTTGTCCACCGACAAAATCTCAGGATAAGGCTTGGTAAGATGGTTTTTGTTAACTTTCTAAAACTCAGTGAAATTGAGGAGGGAAAATCACAAGAAGGCCTGTCCCATTAATTTCACCTATATCTTTAAACATCTATTTTCATATCAACTGCTCCTGCACACAAACTATTTGGCTTTATATGACTTCTTTGAACAGTTCCTAGTCTGAAATAAAAAAAATATATTTGAAATAGTTTGTAGCATTCCAAAATAAGGAACAATGGGAATCTGAAATAAACTCTTTATCCCCTTGTTCTTCATCCTAGAGTCACAAACATAAGTAAGGTGGTACCACTTTAAGAGCACTAACTACAATGCAATCTCCAGAAAACTGGCAAGGAGGTGTTTATAATAAATATTATTATTATGGTTCATTGCCCAGTCAGCCAGATGTTTAGATTAGATTTGGCATTTTTTCCCACCTATTGAGTGGAACTTGGGATAGGTAGGATATGAATGTTAGGTTGTGTTAAAGCAGTGGTTCTCAACCTTTCTAATGCTGCGACCCCATAATACAGTTCCCCATGTTGTGGTGACCCCCAACCACTTATACATCGCCGGGTGCCAGGGCATGGCCAAAGAAAAGGGGAAAAAATGGTGGACAGCCTTGTTTGGCGACCCCCGTAAAATGGTCGTTCAGCCCCAAATGGGGTCCCGACCCACAGGTTGAGAACCACTGTGTTAAAGGTATTGTCACAGAATGTAAGCTATTCTAAGTAAAGCTGCCTTTTACAATTGACTGGTAGTGATTTTGTCAGTGCCGATGGTGTCCAAGTGATGCCCCTGTTGTTTTAGGATTGCACCCAAAGCATTTTATAACAATAATGATAGAAACCTTAAGTCCCATGACATGACAACAGCAGTTAAGTATGTATTTTGCATGCAATGTCAGACAGCATTAGATGTAAGTATAGCAAATCAGCAGCAGCAGCAATGGATTCATTTGAACACATACTGCAAACAATAACTAAAGTATGAATTTTTTTCATGGTCAAGACAAAATTTTGGAATAGGGGTATGTCTCAAACTTAGCACACTTGAATAGCCATTTTGAACTAAGCAAGTTTTGTGTTTGAAATGTTCTGCACAGCCCTCAAAATCAGATTTTATATTCCAGAAAGCATATCCTGATTCAGTAAACACTGTCAGTAACAGTAATCCAGCACTCTAAGAGAGAAGGAAGATTAAAAAACCTTTCTATAAAAAGAGAAGAAAAAAATAAAATATTTCTGTTGTAAGAGAGGAAGAAAATAAATAAAACTTTTTGTATTCATTAACTTCCAGTGAAAAATGAAGAGATTAGGCCTTGTGCACTGTGAAAAGACTTGTTATCTTCTAAATAAATCAAGTATTGCTTTTTCAGGTGAATACAATATAAATCAGAGAGATGAAGGTGAACAAGAAAGAAGAGTTGATGAACTTATAATCCATGAAAAGTATTCTTCCAAAACCGTTGACAATGACATTGCCTTGCTGCGATTATCAGCGCCAGTCAACTTCTCTGAGTATGTGGTGCCCATCTGCTTGCCCCCTCCACGGTTTGCAGCAGACATATTGAATTATGTTGAATTCTCCACAGTGAGTGGGTGGGGGCGTCTCTTGGAAGGTGGGGCTACTTCAGCACTTCTTATGCGAGTGGAAATCCCCAAAATACACAAAAAGGAATGCATTTTGCACACTACACTCAATATTACCAACAACATGTTCTGTGCAGGTTATCTCGATGGAAGTAAAGATTCTTGTGAAGGTGACAGTGGTGGACCCCATGTCACTGAATACAAAAATACTTGGTATCTAACAGGAATTGTGAGCTGGGGTAAAGGGTGTGCTTCATTAGGAACATACGGAGTTTATACAAAAGTTATAAGATACTATCAGTGGCTAATTAATCATATGGATTCTTAATGCATATTGCTTCCAATTTCATTGTCCTTTCATTATCCAAATCCATGTTTAACCTTTGAATTTAGCTTATAACTAGATTATATATTTTAGATTATATATTTCTACATTTTAAATCTGTAGTAAAACTTCAGTTTAATTAACTGCACTTAAATAATTTGAATACTAAAAACTTTCAACCATTCACAATACAGTGGTACTTTGGTACTCGATTACTTCAAAAATCATTGAATTTAGTACTCGATGGATTTTGACACAAAAATGTTGTCCCAGTATTTGTTTGGTACCCGATGCTCTGTGATAGGAAAAGGGGGATGGACATAGAAAACAGATAGGAAGTCGGCAATGCCAGGAAGTTTGCTGCAAAAGGAAGAGGGGGACGGTGGACAGAATGTTGGCCATGCTGGGAAGGTCACTGACATAGGAAAAGGGACAGACAGGAAGTCCTTCCTGGCCAAAACAAGGTCACATAGTAAGTCACATGGTTGGTTTGGCCCTTATCATTTTTACTATTCGTGTCTCTCAGATCCAGTACCAAGTACTGAGGTACCACTGTAATGGGTCTAGACAAGGCATTTAAATTTATTTTAAATGTTTCTTTATTCACATTATTTGCATATGATGTAAATATCCAAATAATCTGAACATGCCATTTGCATAATGCTGTCAATACATAAATTATGTCCATTGCTGTAAATGACACATTTGGATTTTAGAGATGTTCTGAAATAAATAAAATAAAAATTTATTTTAAATGTATTTATTTTAAAGCTAACTTAAGAAATCAATAAAGTATGAACTCAATTTAACCAGCCATATAGCAATAAAATATTTTCATTTTATTTTTTTTATTTTTTATTTTTTGGTCATCTGTATTTCTAGTGGTTTGGCTCATTTTGTATCAAGTGTCACAATTTTGCCCACAAAAAATGCAAGAGCTCTCCGTCAAATACAGCCTCCTTTGATGTCTGATTGTTTGGGGATTTGTAGACTAATAAATGAAATACACACTACATTTTGAAAAGCTAATTGAGACTTTGCAAAACTGGATAGACCACGTAAGATAAATGCTCTGATTGAATTAGGAAGTTACTTGAAATATTAGGAGTTTATAAAAACTTAGAATCATTTCTGACTCTACAGATCTGATGCCTCTGCTACTGTCATATAATTACCAATCTCATCAGCACTTTGCAGTTAATAGTATAAGTTGGAAGGGGCCTTGGAGATCTTCTAGTTCAACCTCCTACTCGGGGATATTGATCATCAAAATGTTATCACTAGTGCCTATGGATGACATTGCTAAATGTTAGACCAGGGGTAGTCAACCTTGGCTCTTTTATGAATCATGGACTTCAACTCCCAGAATTCCTGAGCCAGCACAGCTGGCTCAGGAATTCTGGGAGTTGAAGTCCACAAGTCATAAAAGAGCCAAGGTTGACTACCCCTGTGTTAGACAGTCATAAGCCCTTTATTACAGAGTATCTATCCTGGGGTGGGTAATTAATTTTCCCAAAAGGCCACACGAGAAACTGGAACTGTTGTGGAGGGCCAAACCAATGTGTTCAAACTCCATCACCTCAACTCCTCAGGCTGCTCCAGATAAGGCTGAGCACTGAACAGGCTCAGAAAAGGGCTTTCTCTCCTTGCCTTCCTGTGGCCAGCAGCCGACTGAGGGAGCCGACTTGGCTTCTTCTCCTGCCCCCTGTGACACACTTATTTACATTGGATTTTAAATTTTAAATTGATCTTTTGTGGGCTGAACAGGAACAGCCAAAGGGCACGGGGCCATAAAATGCTCAGGTCTGAGCTGTAGGATCTAATCCTAAGCAAATATAGATGGGCCTTTTCCACAGCCTGCTTTGATGTCCTTCTCTTAGCTCAGCTGTCAGGATTCATGGGACTTTTTATTTGCAGAGACTTTGCCCTTGTAGACCCGCAGAATAGAAACTCTCACTCATGTCCTCATATGGTGTCCTTTCTATGATGCCCCAAGACATGTTCTAATCACTCCAATCATTTCCAAATAAGAAGGCCACACAGATAAACATTACTTTTATTATTTTTAATGGTAACCTCACATCACATATCAGGTGGCCAAATATCTTTACCAAGTTCTACAACTGCCCAAAACTTTAATTAAATATATGGTTTTATTGCCCTATTTTTTCTTATTCTCAATAATAATAAGGTGACCAACTTTTTTACAATAAAAAGGAGGACACAAATAAATTGAAGAAAAAAATATCATAAATAAAAAAAACATTTTATTCATTGCAACAATAATACAGAATACACTATGATAAATGCATAATAAAAACCATTTGTAACAATAACATTTTATATTTTAATTATGCTTACATGCCGTGCCCCCGCCCGCAGCTGCCCCACCAGCACTACAGCCTTGCCATGTAGAGCAGGCCCCATGGCTCCCAGAGCACCAGCTGTGCCAGCTCCAGCCCCGGGGGCAGCCTGCCATCAACACACCCTGCCTGCAGTCACCCCCCCCACCCTGCACAGCCCTGTGTAGAGCAGGCCCCACGGCTCCCACAGTACAGGGGGCAGCCGGCCACAGTCGCTCCTCACACCCCTGCCCGCAGCAGCCCCGCTGCCTCTGCCTCTTGCACCCGCAGCCATTATTGCCTTAGCAGGGCCGAAGATCAAGAGAAAGTTACTGTGGCATCGCCGCTCCAGTCTCCTCCAGGTATTTTTGGGACTAACTAGGAGATGGTGTAGTTGGAAAGCAGGGAGGGGTGCAAGTTCCTGCCAATTCGCCTTTGCTGCAGACAACTTACATGTGCAAAGTTTGCTGGCCGGGTGTTTTGGCGCGCTCAGCAACAATTCCTATTGGCTTTTGAAAGCCAATAGGGGGAGTAGCACAGCTCATGCAAAAGTTGAAAAAAAAACCATCAAAAAAAGGTGCTGGAACGCCGTTCTGAGCGTTCTATGAGAAAAAAAAGCTGTGCAGATTAATCTTCAAATATAAAAAAGGAAGACATGTAGGAGAACATTTTTCGAGGGAGGACAGAACTTTAAAAAGGAGGTCTGTCCTCCCTAAAGGAGGACGGTTGGTCATCTTAATAATAAATGTGTTAAAGTATTTCTCTTTTTTACTGTACTGTAAAATTACTGTACTGTACTTTTATTGTGAAGTCTAATCAAATATTGTTATAAAGATTTGATTTGAAAAAACATGTCTTACTGTGCTCTACTTTCTGCTGCTTTTGGGGATGTGTGTGAGAGAAAGAAAGAGGGGCAAAATGCAATTTCCTCTTATGTTCAAATATTGCAGAAGTATACTTATTATAGGTAGCATTAGCATTTGCTAGGACTTCTTTGGAACAAGTTGCTCTGGATGTATAGTGTGTTAAGATTTCTTTATGAAGAACTCAAAGAGCAGTGAAGCTCTTCCCCTATAATCTGCTTTCAACTTCTGGGTGAACTTCCTTTAAATGTCAAATATCTGTGCTTAACAGTGAGGGGCAGCTCTCTTTTGAGGTATCCATCCTACTCCATACTATTAATCTTGTACTGACTCAAATGACCTTATTTGGCAAAGACCCGAATTTTGAGTTAGTCAGCACAATGATCTGAAGAATCCATATCTAAACACAACAGGCTTTGGAGGACATGATAAGGGCTGGAGCAGAACAACAGGAAGCCTGTTTGCTTGAACCTTGTTCATAGCCAGCCCTGAAAGAGAACAAAGTGCTCTTTTCCACCGATAGGCACCATGGCTCCTCAGCTGCTCCTCTGTCTGATCCTCACTTTTCTGTGGAGTCTCCCAAAGACTGAAAGTAATGGTAAGAAGCTCTTTGTTGGGTTTCTTTCTCTCCTTCTTATAATTTGTCTCACGTTTGCAAGGTCATACAGTCTTTCTCTCCCTTTCTTCTATCTCAGTTTAAACCCACATCAGTTAAGCTTCTCCATGAACCTGATGAACCTCTTGAAAGCTAATGCTTTTTAATATGTGTTAGTCTGAAAAGGTGCTACCAGACATTTGAGTTAGTGCAGTCATACATACGGCTCTCGCCCTACAACTTTTTTCTCTCTGTAATTGGTTTAATATAATTTGAAGAAATACTAATTATTTTTTGTGCAGCCACAAATAAGGATTGGATTAGAGGAAGTCTTCATGCTGAAATACTCATATATCTGCTGTCTTATGTGCACGAGTTGTGTAATTTCATTTCCTATTAAAGATGAAAACAGAAAACAGTGCAATCTATTCTATTTCTGAGACTGCAGAAATATCTCCTGTTTCAGGCGTGGGAGGTAGGAGATGAATAGAGAAGGCTGAGTTTAAGTACCTTTGTATTGCAATTATGTCCACTCAGAAGAGTTAGGAAATTACATATACCCACAATCATTGTATGTAATGGTTCCCACCATCAGCAAGTAACTAAGTTAAAAAAATTAGAATTAAAAAGTGCACAATGACAAATGAAGATAACCTTTGAAAGGTCAAAAATGCAAGAATGTGAAATATGAAAGAAGAAAAGTATCCCAAGTGCCTGGAGAGAAAAAGATTTCCTTAAATTTCACAAGTTAGGAGGAAAGAGGAAAACTTGACATGGAAAACTTTTGACCTATTTGTAATATACTTCTAGACATTTTCCAAATATTTTTGTGAACAATGAAGGTTGATCATTCAATACATTGAATGTAACAGAACCTCACTGGGGTTGGTGTGGGGAAATTATTATTTTTTTCAGCCTTGTAGCAGTCCTGGTCCCTCCCTCCAAATTTTCTAATGAAGAATTTTATTCAAATAGCAACTTATTTGTTGTATTTAAATATTTCTTAGATTTATATCATGGCTTCCTTTAGAAGCTCAAAGTGATATGCCCAGCCTTCCCTGTGATGACAACAGGTGGAGAGGGGCATGTGTCTTCTATGGAAAGTTCCAGTACTGTCCTTTAAATATTTGGCTTGTAACATCTGTCCAGGATGTAATTAGAGATGCTTTCATAAATGCCTCTTTGAGGATAGAAGTATTCCACCCCATTTAAATAAGGCAATTATCCACCAGAGGTAGACAATTATTGAACCTCCTCATTTTCAGGAAAGTAAAAGGAAGGGGAGAGTTACTTTCAGATTTCCATGATTCGTTACTGTAATCTTACAATTAAAGTAATATTGGTACTCAGAGTTAGTACTTCTTGTCTGGGTTACCTCAAAGGGCTGACAGAAGTAGATTATCTCAACCCATTTCAAATTGGCTTTAGTACAGATTACTGGGGTTGAGGCTGTCTTGATTAGCCTGATGGATATTCTTTTAGCATGGATAAAGGGAGTATGGTTGTTGGTTCTTCTTGAACTTCCAGTATTTTATTATTGAGTCAAGCATAATGTCTTTTTGTATTGCCTGTTTTGATAACAGTTTCAGTGGCTCCATTCCTGACTGTCTGGTTATGTTTAGTCTGTGTCTCTTGCAGTTATTCAAGTGCAGCTATATTGTGGTATCCCTCAGGGCTGTATTCTATCTCCTGTCCTACATCAAAACACTGAAGAAATTCACCAGGAAATTTAGAGCAAGGTATCTTCAATGTGCAGATCTATTTCTCTATGACCTCTCCAAGAAATACTATGGCTCCCACGCTTGCACCAATGATTGGCTAGATGACGGATAATGTGTTGTAATTGAATCCAAATAAGATAGAGCTGCTGCTTGTGAGAGATCAGGATTGAGAGTGGCAAATCTTCTGTTCCCGTTTTTTGGAATGCAGATGTATTCCTCAATGTCGCATATATATACATTGGTACTATTCTCTCTTTTTCTTACAAAACCAAATCTTTACATTTTCTGAGGCACTTTAATTGCTTTGGGTTTTGTTTAATTCCTATTTGAACAGGTTTTATATCTCTCTTATTTTATTTATTATATAGTTATAATATATAACATTTCATCTTATGACCATCTGTTTAGAAACTGTTCAAAAACACAACAGCGCTGAAAAAACTGATTTATGACCACTTCTCACCCTTACCACTATTGAAGCATCCCTGCAGTCAGGGGATCCTGGATTTGCTTAATCACTATGTGATTCTTTGAATGTCTACATGATTAAATGAAAAACCATGGCTAAAAGGTAGTAAAATCTAGTGTGGTCACATGCTGATTCATTTAACGACCATATCATCGCTGAGTAACAGACAATCCAGTCCCAATTGTGGTCATAATTTGAGGACTATCTGTAACTGTTTTACTCTATGCATTGCATACCTGCCTTGGAATTCTTTGTGAAAGGTGCTTAGTGAATGTTTAAAATAAACCAAATAGCTGTGCCCTTTAATTAAATGCCATTTTGTGGAACTGAAGAAGCATGCTTTCTCTTCACAGCCCCCTGCCCTCCAAAACTGCATCTCCCCAGAGACATAGCACTCACTCTCCTAGAGTTCTGGAAGGTTCTTAAGACTTGCGTCTCTTCCTAGACCTCAGTTTGGGGTGTCTGTGCAGCCATTGTTGAATCTTTCCTGCATGTTGAGTAATGTTGTTTTTATCTGGAGAGTTGTTTTTTTAGTGTTTTTTTTTCATATACATATATATATATGTAGGTCTTTGGTTATTCGGGTTTTCTCCCGCGTAAAATTGGAAGTGTCTTGGCGACGTTTCGACAAAGTCCCAATCATCATCTTCAGGCTGGTGTTTTCAGCTTTGTGCTTCGAGGAGCAATGTGTGGTCTTAGCTGTTTCTTCCTTTTAACTGCCAGTGGAGGTATGAACTGATTGGGTGGGAGCTTGGCTGTGTTCTGATTGGGTGGAGGTGTGTTCTGATTGGTTAGTGGTTTGGCTGTGCTCTGACTGGATGGGGAGTTGGCTGTGCTATGATTGGATGGGGGGTTGGCTGTGCTATGATTGGCTGGGGGAGTGTTCTGTTTGGGTGGGGGCTTTGTTGTGCTCAGGTTAGTCTGAGTTGCAGGGGGGGGTTAAGATGGTGGGCTGCCTTGCTATTTTTCGCTTCGCGTTCGTGGTCGTGCCTCATCTTCATGGTGGGTGTCAGTTTGCTTCATGTATGGATTGGAGGGGTTTAAAGTGGCTAATGATGCATCTGTGGTCTGGCTTCTGGTTTGTAGTCGTGCCTCATCATCAGTGTGGCTTTGGGTTTGCTTTTTGTGTGGATGTGTGGTGGTGACATCCTGTGTGGTTTTAGTGAGTGTGGGTCTGGTGTCATTCTTTGTGTTAGGAAATCATTTGCCAATACGGGCAGGTTTCCAAATGGCTGGTAGGTGGGACGTATCATCTCGTTTGTTCATGCTGTGTGGCCGTTTTTCTATCTCGATGGCTTCTCTGATTATTCTGTTATTAAAATGTTCAGTTTGGGCTATAGTTCTGGTATTTTTAAAGTCAATTTCCTGTCCTGTGGCTTTAAGGTGTTGGACCAGGGAAGATGTTGGTTCCTCTTTTTTGACTGAGTTCTTATGTTCTTCAATGCGTGCACTTATTCTTCTGTTGGTTTGTCCGATGTATGTGTTGGGACAGGCGGTGCATGGGATTTCATATACTCCTTGATTTTCTAACTGTTTTAGAACTGCAGAAATAAAAAGTCTGCTTGAAATTATTTACTTTCTATAGGAAATTAAAGGAATGGTTGGTGTGGTACAAGATTGGCTCATTGTTTGAGACATGAAATTTAGGATCCAGAAAAGCATAAGAACAAAGATTCATGTAAGAATTAAATGAAGAACCAAGAGACACCAGAACTGAATAAGTAATGTGGATGATGGATGATGGGTCAAAACTTTCTAAAGAGTCATAGATTGCCAATAACTTTTTAAATATCCAAAATGACTTAAAGTAGCCTCTAAGAACCAATGAGGTCAACTTCACTGGGAAGAAAATTAACTTTAGTCACAGGTTAAAGTGATTGTACCAAGGTCTAGTAGCCATAGAGTCCAAGCCCATCTCTATATATTAAATATTAACAAGAAGAATGGGAAACTGAGAAAAGGATTGTTGTGAAGTTTCCATATCACTGAGAAACAAATCAAGATAAAAAGGAGAAAGGGAGGCAGTGACAGATGGAAAGTTGCAGAATATCGGCATTAAAAAAAGAGACTATGAAGATTAACTGAATGGTTATAGATTATGTTGTACAAATGTAAGTAACAGAAGGAACAATCAAGAGTTGACAATTCATTCTCAAAACAGAACAGGAACAAGTAAAAAAATATATATAAATAAGGAGCTATAGGTTTTTTTTTAAAAATTAAATGCCATAGGTTGTAAAAGAAGTCAAAATAAAGAGTCTCTAATAAAGAAAATACTGAATTCTGCTGTGAAACAACCATGGATGGTGGCAGATTGCTTTTGGAGAGAAAGAATAGATTTCTAAGATGGAAGGGAAAGTAGGGAATACTGTAGACCCAGGTTGCAAGTTTACTTCTGAATGAGCCATTATATAGAATATATACTGCAGTCAGAACGGAGCATTTTGGCTATAAAGCTCAGCTCTCTGACATCTACAAGTTCTCCAAATATACTTTGGGGCCTCTTCTAATCCCATATGGTGGAATTCAGTGGTTGAAAAGGTTTATGGGAAAACTTATCAATCTCATTATAGTAAAATAAGTATGGTGTGTGTTGCTCTGTATGTCCATAGGAGGCTATTTCTATTCAGCTTACCTGTTGTCGTGTCTGAAAAAACTGTTTGTGATCATGTAAGGTTCCCCATAGTTGCCACTCTAATAACTCATTATTCCTCTCTTGCACATTTCACATATTCACACTTACTCACATAAAAAACTTGTGGAATCTTCCTGTGTCAGAAATAATGATTTTTAAAACTCAGGACCATAATTTCTCATAGCATTATCCCTAAATATAATTATACAGAATATTATTTCTTGGCTTGGGGGGGCAGGAGAAATAGACAGTTCATATCTGTATCTTTGTTTTGCTCTTCTTTAGTATTCTTACAAAGCAAAGTGGCAAATAGATTTTTGCAAAGAACAAAACGAGCTAATTCACTGTTTGAGGAATTTAAATCTGGAAACATTGAAAGGGAGTGCATTGAGGAGAGATGCTCAAAAGAAGAAGCCAGGGAGGCATTTGAAGATCAAGAGAAAACTGTAAGTGTGTATCTTTGACTGCTGTCTCTATGTGCTCTTTTGGTGCATGTGTGTTTCTATGCCTCTTATTTCTGTGAGGCCTTCAGAATCAAAATCAGATGGCATGAAATGGGTTTGAAGTATGTCTTCATCATGGAGTATTTTACCAGATCATTTTTTCTGTGGTTCTTTCTGTTGCTTTTGGCTGCTCCATGCTCTTGACTGTATATCTCTACCCATATATATCTCATCCCACACTCTGAGCATCCAATAAAACTGTGTGTCATCCAGATCAGAGGTCCCCAACCTCCGGTCCGTGGACCAGTGCCGGGCCGCAGCATACCAGAAACCGGGCCACATAAACAAGCAAAGCCCCATACATGTGATGCAGGCAGCACACAAAACAATGTATTCTCCAGTCTGTGGAAAAACCTTTCTCCACAGAACTGGTCCCTGGTGCCCAAAAGGTTGGGGACCTCTGACCCAGATCATTCTTACACTAAAGAGAACAGCACAAGAGAACCTTCACATTGCCAAAGAAACAGAGGAAGTCACCCCATGGAGCATATTAAGAAATTAAAATTAAATCCCAATCAATTTTATCCCTGGGTGTAACTTGGGGGAGGGATGTTGCTCCTCCTTGCAACACCTTATTCAATGGCCAAACACAGGCAGAACATAGGATGGAGTATCAGAAGATAGGAAAGGAGGTATTCAAAACTGAGTGGGGAGGAACAATAATTGTTGATGCTTGTCAGGCTCTGTGGTGGCAATAGTATGACCTGTTTTTATCTTGCATTTGTCTAGCACAGTGGTTCTCAACCTGTGGGTCGAGACCCCATTTGGCATCAAACGACCATTTCACGGTGTTCGCCAAACAATGCAGTCCGCCATTTTTTTCCCCTTTTCCTTAGCTGTGCTACTCCCTTTTATTCTATTGGCTTTTGAAAGCCAATAGAATAGACTCTCTTGAATAGAGTCTAATTCTATTGGCTTTCAAAAGCCAATAGGAATTTTCCAGGCTGTCTCTGCCCTGCTGAGCCTGCCAAAAGTCCCATTCTGCAAACGGTGCTGCACCAGTTGAGTAGTCCTCGACTTACGACCGGTTGAGTAGTCCTTGACTTACGACCGGTTGGGGGTTGCAGCATTAAAAAGGTTGAGAACCACTGGTCTAGCACTTAAGTAATAGAAACAACTGGTTCTTTCTTCATTTTTCTGTTCTTACCAGTCTTTATCATCTGATCTGCAAGCTACAAGGTGACAAAAATAAAACTACAGATGATGCAGAGATCAGGAGCAGTGGAAGGAATCTTTAGAGCAGAGGTGGGGAACTATAGCCCTTTTATGACGTGGACTTCAACTCCCAGAATTCCTGAGCCAGCCATGCTGGGAGTTGAAGTTGATTCTGGGAGTTGAAGTCCACAAGACATAAAGGGGCCATAGTTCCCCCACCTCTGCTCTAGTGCAGTGCTTCTATTGGCTAAGGAATTCTGGAGTTGAAGTCCACTCATCTTAAAGTTGTTAGGGTTGAGAAGCACTGCACTAGAGATTGTAAAGGGAAGAATGTGAAGCAAAATCCTGTCATGTGCTTTACTCATCTTTGCAGCATTTTCCCCTTTTATACAGCAGGCTTTAGGTTTTAAATAGTTTTAAATTTTCAAGCAGCTATGATATAACCAAGAGGCATATTGTGAAGTAATTTTTCCAATGCACTGGACTACAGTTCATTTCATCGCCAGCATTGTTATCAGTGCCAGTTATCGGCATCTGTTTGGGGAAGGTTATTATGGGAAGGCAGGGAAATATAAAGCTTTTATAATACATTTTGTAAATGTATGGTAGCACCCTTAGGATATTTACTAGAGGATTTTCAGACAGTAGAATATTGATCTGAGCTACAAATACATATATTCAGTGCTTTTTTTGTAAGAAAAAAGGTGCCGGATCTCACATCTTGTTAATCTTGCATTTAAAAAATTATATATTCAGTTCTTAACATAAATTTAATTATTGTATTTAAGGCAAACGTTCATCGTAAATTTTACACTAAAAATTAAAAAAAGATTTTCAATTCACCAACGATTTTTTAAAATAAGAAATTATTTACCTTTCACACAGTCAATCACTGTACACACACCCACACATGTCAGTTGTGTAATGAAACATAATGGTCGCTGCCCGCAGTAAGCACTCAGAGCGCGACCACATGACCAATCACAAGCCGAGCAGTACCACAAGCTGAGCAGCACCATCACAACCAGTGCGGATGAAGTACGCATGAATCGGACTCAACACACAAGCAGCCCGCATACACCATTTTAATGATTTTGCCGCCGACCTGCCAAGCTCGACAGGGCAATTCAAATCCACGTGGACCAAACATCAAATTTTCAAGTTATTGGGAAAACTTGGAAAATCCGTCAAAAAAAGGTGCCAGAACTTCGTTCCAGTGCATTCTATGACAAAAAAGCACTGCATATATTTAAAAGGTTGTGCACCAAAATGCATTCATGTTTTATTTCAGACATTTTAAAAAATTATCTTGATAAGCTGAACTTTTGAAAGGAGTTCTGTGCTACATTTGGTAAGATCAGTTGTAAAAAGTGGAAAAAGAGAATTGATGAAGAGTTGACACTATAATTTTATAATTTTGGGGGGGGGGAAATATTGGATCAATTCTTGAGAAACCAGACTTGACAAATTTGCAGAAATGAAAAACTCAGAGAAACCAAATCAACAGATATTCCTATTTTTGTAAGAATGTATATGTTTGTATGAGGGCAATTCGGAAATAAACCTCCATTTCATTATCGATGACAGACATGCACAGATACAGAACTTTTTTTATGCACATTAGAAAATACAACATTACATTACTTTTTGACATAATCGCCATTCAAATTGAGGCACTTATCATAATATGTTACAAGGTTTGAAATTCCTTCTGCAAAAAAAAATCTCCCATCTGGGAATGAAGCCACCCTTTAACAACATTGTGAAGCACATTGTCATCATCGAAGCAGTGCAACGCAAGCCACTGTTTCATGTTCCTGAAGAGGTGGTAGTTGCTCGGCACCAAATCTGGGCTATAGGGGGTGTGATCAAAAGCATCCCAATGGAACTGCTTAAAAAGTTCTTGGGTGCATCTAGCGATAAGCGGGCAAGCATTATTGTGAACCAACATCACACTGAAGGTCCATATGTCCCGACGCTTGTTATGGATGGCCACATCTTGCCTCATCGTGCACATCAGTTCATCCGTCATTAAACATGTGACACCACTGATGTACGATACTATAAACATTATACAGTTTGTGATGAATTGCAGCTGCTGAAAGTTTTTTCGCACACAGGAATCATATTACTGCACGCACTTCACATTTGGCAGGATTTTCTATGGCAGGTTTCATTGCCAATTGATCTAATAGATGAGTCAACTGCAACACAATCTTCTCCTTCCACTCCTCATTACCTACTGAACTACTGTGCACGGTGCCATAGGATGGGCATCGCTATCCCCACCTATTTCTTGCACATGCTCAAACCGAGGTTTATTTCCGAATTGCCTTCATACTACAGTGGTAGTGGTGTTATATAAGCTATTCCATATTGCCACCACTTAATATCAGAATGTTGTAGGCTTTTTCCCATACTTGCTTTTGCTAGATTTGTATTAATTTATTATCCTGTTACATTTCTCATCCACTTCTTATATTTTATATTAATCAGGTGATTAACCATGCTTAAAATCCTGCAAAAAATAAAATAAAAATAAAATTCACTAATAATCCAACTCCTCAAAATATTGGAATGTTTGTTTAAACAACCACAGTTTAACCCATTACTTAAAAGGCAACAAGCTCATAAATAGATCAAGATGTGTAAATTTTTGATCATTCTTTTCATTAAAGGACTGTTCATATTTGCACCAACAGAATAGAAAAAGATAACAGAGTTTTTAAAATATAGTATAGAAATAATATATTGTAATATATTAGCATTAGTACTTAATTGCTGCTCACTGAAATGTTACATGAGATTCTTCTTAAATTATTTTTGTTTCATTCCCTAGCTTTGTAAATTTTATTTAACACTGCTAAATTCTAATGTGCATATATATGTATTTTTTTTTTCTAATCAGGAGAACTTCTGGAATATTTATGTAGGTAGGAGATCATCTGCTTTTGCTCCAAGCATTTTTCCTAAATAATGGTTAAATATGTTCAGTGTATTTGATGAAATAAATATATTACTTTTGATTAAAATTAAGAGTATTGTACTGTATATCTAGGATAGATTAAAACTGACTGGTTGATCCCCATTTTTCAATAATTCAGATTCTTAAGCCCTTCAAAGCTTAGAAAAAGGCCAGTTATAGTTATTCTAAGGTTATTAGGTATTTATTACTATCCATATACTGGGCATTTCAAAGACGATACATATCCATAATATATGTGGTTATTAATATCGTATTCAAATCAAGTCATCTGGGGAGAACTTCTAATAATTTCAATGATCAATAATTATTTTGGGGGAATATGTTCTATTATATTCTAAGGCTAGTTTATGTATTCTGATAAAGTAAACTATATGATTTGGTCAAACTGCATTCATCTGTCCACAGAACCAGGTTTTCTTTTTCTACAGAGGACTGAAGTAATATAATTCCATATGTTAAACTGGCTTAGATTTGCTATATACCTTGTGAGAAAGCTTTCCTGGTAATTTGCAGGTAAACTTTTCCTCTGTGCAGTGTGTTCATTTGGTAAAGTTGATTGATCCGATGCTCAGTATAAGTATTATTCATTATAGCCATCTTAAAAATTCCATTCTTGGTACTGCATTTGAACTTCTTTTGTAGGAAACAACGTAACAGTAATTTGGATTTTTGTTCTGAACATATAAATACAGTATTTCTATATTTTGGATCTTAACTTCTTTTTTTCATGCTAGATGGGGATCAGTGTTTATCAAACCCCTGTCATTATGGTGGGACATGCAAAGACGGCATTGGTAGCTATACCTGTACATGCTTGGCTGGCTATCAAGGAAAAAACTGTGAATATCGTAAGTTGAGCTGGAGCTAGTCAAAAGACCTAAGGGCAAGAACAGAGTCATGTGGGGTCCTTGGTGCTCTCTGGCTTGCTTGTTTTGACATTTCATCACTCACACTAAGTAACATCATCAGTTTCACTGTGTAATGAAACATCAAAACAGCCAAGCTCAGAGAGCTCCAAGAACCCCTCATTTCAATCCTGTGCTACAAATATTATCTTTTATCAGAGTCATGTGGCCACACTTCTTCCTCCTCTCCCTCCCCCTCTCCTTGCCAAGATTTGAAAATGTGTGAGATTTTTTCCCCCCTAAGTCTTCAGAGACTTCAGTGAAATCTTATGAGAACTGATAGTGACTTAGACCGAAGCATCATAGAGGTCATAGCAATAAAATGAAATAAAATTAACACAATTTTCCAAGGGTTTAACTGCTATCCAAGAAAAACATATGTGACCCAGACTTAGTTTATGGGAAGTTAATGGCTTTTGTAGGTGAACTGGTGTCTTGAATATATACAGTAGTAGCTCCTTAACAATATTCTTGGTAGAAGTAATGGAAAAGGATGTTCCTAAGTATATGGACGATTAGTTCAGAGATATTGGAATATAAAAAGCACCTGGGTGAATCAGGTCAAAGACAACTATGTCTTGTAGCTAGCATCCTCTTCTCTTATTGATGTACAGCTGGTATACTGTGAAAAAAAGCAGTAGCTTTAATTTGTCTACTTCTCTTTTAAAACTGGTCATAGTATTTCAAGATTCCTTTTCTGATCAGCCATTGTTAGTTCATATTTAATTAATATGTATCTGAAATAGGTGGGGGTTTTTTTGCATTAATACCTAAAATTTGGTACTTTGTTACCCTAACTCACATTTTCTAGTTTAAAGGACATTTACCAAAATGGGCTGAACCTTACTCAGGCTGGAAGAGAGCACTCGCGTCCCAATATGAAGATGGAGCCATGTACAACTAACTCCCCCTTCCCCCCAAATAGAACCCCAGGTTTAACTGATAGATTTCCTTTATTTTGTGGACAAATAAATGAGGCTTATAGTTTGCTTCAGTTTGTCCCATCAATAATGGTCCATCTCCAGAGAAGAGAGATGAGGTCAGGTTCCTACCAGCATCACTTCTACTTCTGCAACCAATTTTATAAGCAAGCAACATAGGACTGCTGTGCCAAGAAAATTGGCTATGACTGTCAAAATGTTATCTTTATACAAAGAATATGTTTTTTTTAATTTATTTTTTTATTAATTTTTCCCATCAACATATGTTCATTTTTCCAATCAACAAAGTTGTCTGGAGTTTGTTAAGCTAATACATGTTCAATTCCTAATCCTTCACTCTTTTCTCTAACCAAGAATAAAATAAAGTCCAAATTTGATAGTAGTCTCTATCTTCTTTGTCTTTCAACCTCATAGTTAATCTGTCCATCTCTGCACAAAGAATATGTTTTTTATCTACTAATGTTTTATCTGTTTATTTTTTTACATAGTTATACATAAGTCCTGCAGATTGGACAATGGTGACTGTTGGCACTACTGCAAACTTGATCAGAATGATATTCAATGTTCATGTGCTGAAGGTTACATTTTGGGAGATGATGGGCAATCTTGTGTTGCTGGAGGTATGACTGTGTTTGTTCAGCTGAAAAATTATAACATTGTATTTTGTTTTTTTCATATCAGGGTTAGCCAAAAGACTGATGTGTTATTCCTATTGGGCTGTTGTAATTTAAAAGTCAGAACATTAAAAAAAAAACTTAGTTTGACTTTGGTTGTATTATATAATATATTATTTTATTATAAAGGGAAAGACAGTATTTTATATAGCAAGAAAGTAACAGAGCTCTATCTACCTCTTTTTTCTGCATCCTGATAGACTTTCAAATCTGGCTCCAGTGTAATTTTACTGACACAATTTATCTCTGTCCATTGACAGCTAAGGCTATATAAATATTACTTTAATAGGAATTATTATTACTCTATTATTATTAATTAATCAGCATTCCAAAATGTAGTTTTCAGCAACAATTATCCTTTATTAAAAGAATAGAGATGGCAGTTATCTAATTTGTTAATAGTTTTCTCACTCAGAATGAGATTATTTAAATGTAAAGGTGTCCTTTTTTGTATTCTTGTTTCTTGACCTCACGTTCTATTGCAGCGACATCATTTAATTTGAAATTCTCATTATGATTTTTCAGGTGACTTTTCATGTGGTAGAATTAAAAAAGCCAGGGACAAGAGGGAAGCAAGTCTGCCTGATCAAACAGATTTCTCTGAGGCCTACGATTTGATTGACGAAGATAATTATGTTGAATCTCCTACAAACTTCTCTAGCATGGTTCCTACTGTGCAATCCAAGAATGAAACCTGGCTCGATAAGGCTGATGATTCGGACCGTGGAGTGAGAGTCGTTAACGGAACTGACTGCAAACTGGGTGAATGTCCATGGCAGGTAAATGAGTTCAGAATGTGTATGTCAGAATACTGACTGATTTACATCCCAAATTTGTTGAAACAATGAAACATACATTACTTTTAATTTCCAATTCTTTTGTAAGGTCACTGGCCCTTGGCAAAACTTGAGAAATCATAAAAAAATCCAATCATGAAAACTCAAGCAGAAGCTTCTTAAAGATACAGCACTTTATTTTCGATCAAAATAAGTTCTGGGTGGGAACACAATCTGAACCAGTGTTAATGTTGCGTTCAGAAGTGCCATATCTTAGAAAGTTAGTAGCATTGCTTTATAAACTTTATTAGCCAATGAAAATCAGACAACAGAGTCATTACATTATAAGGAAGACAACAATCATTGCTGTACACTCCCTTATTCCCTCCTTCAGTACATCCCATCCACGTACATGTTTCCCATGCTTGCATGAAATTTTTCCCTGACTGCAAACGCTGATTACAGAAACGAGATAGGAATAGTTAGGCTAAACTATTTTGTTCCAGTTACAGGACCCTTCATTTTCATATGGAAAAAGTCATAGTTGTGTGTGCATTTAAGTATACAGGCCTACATATATTTAAGAATCAATGTTGTGATATAGAGATAGTCCTCGACTTATGAGCACAATTGAGCCCATTTCTGTTGTTAAGTGAAACATTTGTTAAGTGAGTTTGTCCCTTTTTACGACTTTCCTTGCCACAGTTGTTAAGTGAATCACTGTAGTTGTTAAATCAGTCAAACTGTTGTTAAGTGAATCTGGCTTCCCCATTGACTTTGCTGATCAGAACGTTGCAAAAGATGATTGCATGGTTCCGGGACACTGCAACCGTCATGAATATGAACTAGTTGCCAAGCATCTGAATTTTGATCACGTGATCTGGGGATGCTTCAATGGTCATGTGAAAAATGGTCATAAGTTACTTTTTTCAGTGCCGTTGTAACTTTGAATGGTCACTAAATGAAATGTTGTAAGTTGAGGACTATCTGTAATGTAAATACCTCACCCTGCTTCAAGTAGAGTAAAAAAATTTAACTCTTAAGGCAGCGGTCCCCAACCCCAGCCTGTTAGGAACCGGGCTGCACAGCTGGAGGTGAGCAAGCAAAACTTCATCAACACATGCGCGGGATCTAGGTTGCATATGAAAGCATCCACCAATACCTCACCCTGGAAAAACTCTCTTCCATAAAACTGGTCCCTGGTCACCAATCTTTTTAACAAGATTGGTGACCACTGACTTAAGGACTTGCATGATCTGCAGATCACTATAGTTTATCTTATAAATCAGAAAGTGGAGACGAAACTGAAAGTCAATGGTTCTTTTCCATCTGATCCCAGAGTTCCTTTTTCTCCTCCAATATGGCAATTTAGTTTTAAAATGATGGACTTTTTAAAAAAATAAAGCCTAATGGGATCGCTATTGGAGAGGGATTAAACCTCTCTTGTTGGTTGTGTCCTTCCTCTCTCCTACCTGCACAGTAATAAATACTTGATGGGGATGTTTCATCAGTTAAGGGGAGATTTTTTTTTTCTCAAGAATTATGGCTGCAGATGTGGCCATAAAAGTATGGAGATAATTTGAGAAGGAGCTGGTAAAAGAGATACAAGAAAGGACAAGAAATAAAGAAGAAAAAGAAAATGAAAGGAAGATTTGCCAATTATTTTCCCAGTTTATATATGTTCATTTATCCAAAATATCTTAATTTTGCTCAAATACATTTCTGTTAATATTTAGGATTTGTATTTGATGCTCAATCAACCATTTATTAGCAATACAGCAGCCATGAAATTTAGTAATCAAATGAGGCTATGATCCTATAACTTGGTACCATAATTAATTTCACTTTTTTAAAATAAAGTTTTCAAAAAATAAACTTTTCAAATTATACACACAAGTATAATATAAAAGTATAATATATATATATGATTTAGTTCCAGGAATAAATGTCCTTTTACTGTACATGTGCAAGCCCTTTGTTCTGAAGGCCAAGTGAATTTTTTAGCATGGCCAGAACCATTCTCTTCATGAGAAGTTAATGAGAGTGACTCTGTGTGTGTGTGTGTGTGTGTGTGTGTGTGGCTGTGACTGCACAATGAAATTTCCACCTATTTTTAAAATATTTTTTACATTAGATAAAAAGGCATGATTTTTTTAAATTCTATAGTCTCCGCTGCCTTTTTTGAATCTCCTTGAAGATGTTCCTGGCCATCTGTTATGAAATCAATATTCCAAGAATAATGACTATTTAATTTATTTATTTTATTTATTAAATGTTTATGCCAACTATCTCCCCTATAAAGTGATTCTTGACAGCTTTATTCGTATACTTTTATGACTTCTATTTTTAGGCACTTCTGATAAATGATCTTGGAGATGGGTTTTGTGGAGGAACAATTTTGAGTCCCATGTATGTGCTTACTGCAGCCCACTGTATTAACCAAACCAAGCACATTAAAGTTATTGTAGGTGGGTATTTTATCTTTAAAAATATCTATAGTGCAAGCCAACAGCATTTGTGTTTTCTGATGTAATTCCAAATTAGCATGCCTAAAATTGCAGCTTTAATTGCCTACATAATTTTGGTTACTAATATGTCTCAAGTCAGACAGAATCAGAGTACAATCTCTTTGCTATACTAACATTAATGGCAGTGGCATTTAATGACATTCTTCACTCTCTACTATGGCCATATGTTTGACATTTTATGTTTAAGGATGCAGGAGGTGTAGCCTGTATGCTGTTTTCACAGTGATAACTCTATTCATGTCACACAACACTGGATTCTTACACATTCTAAGCCAATGTTCCTCAACCTTGGTGGCCTTAAGATGGGTGGACTTCAACTCCCAGAATTGTCCAGCCAGCATGCTCCACCCATCTTAAAGCTGCCAAGGTTGAAAAATACTGGACTAAGCTGTAATACCATTTGTTTGGTTTTGGCTGAGAATGTTGTGTAACCCAAATATTTGGGTCACAAGCATTCACTAAGGAAGAGGAAAAAGGGAGAAATGAAGATGGGTAATGGACAAGCAGTATAGATGATGAAATACTTCAGCTTATATACTTGCATCACATGTCCCAATATAATTATGTTATCATGGCAGTGGTGTGATGCTTTGATGTCACGTGCTTTGCATTTTGGCATTGCCACCATCTGTTACAGATGCCGCCAACTGTGCTTTGTAAATCATGTATTTTGGCTCAGTATTTTGCTCAACAAAAATGGAAATGCTCTACACAACTCTCCCCTTCTGTTTTTTTTTCCATAGTATTTTTTTTTAATAAAATATGGAGGTTTACCATGCCTACTTATATTTTTGTCCTATGGTCTGGTATTGCTTTTCCTATCTAAGAAATACATTCAAGCATTGCTTTGGCATAAATTAATTGCACAGGGACAAAATAAGACAAAAGTAGCCTTATAGTTATAACAATGGTATATAATTCTGATTAGATATGTTTCTTGGATAGATATATTTTATAACTTATTTTTCAATCTAAAAATATTTCTCTGATAATCAGAAAGCTGGATAGCTATGTGGTATCACACCATAATTTTACTAAGTTTGTCTTCCACAGGGGAAGTGGACATATCAAGAAAAAAAACTGGACGTCTTCTTGCTGTGAATAAAATATATGTGCATCAAAAATTCGTTCTGGCCACCTATGACTATGATATAGCCCTCATCCAGTTGAAGACTCCTATCCGGTTCTCTGAAAATGTGATTCCTGCCTGCCTTCCCACTGCTGATTTTGCCAACCAAGTCCTAATGAAACAAGATTTAGGCACTGTTAGTGGATTTGGGCGTATTCAAGAAAAAGGACGAACCTCCAACACACTTAAAGTTGTTAATCTTCCTTATGTGGATAGGCACGTCTGCAAGCTTTCCAGCAATTTCCCAATTACTGAAAATATGTTCTGTGCTGGCTATCATACTCTGCCTCAAGATGCATGCCAGGGAGACAGTGGGGGCCCCCACATCACTGCATACAGAGATACCCACTTTATTACTGGGATTATCAGCTGGGGGGAAGGATGTGCACAGAAAGGCAAATATGGTGTTTACACAAAAGTGTCCAAATTCATCCCTTGGATAAAAAGAATAATGCGTCAAAAGCTACCAAGAACAGAATCAAGCACTGCTCAGCCCTAAAATTCATTCAATCGCTTATTTCATGCAGAGATAATGCATTGGGTTAGAACATTCAGTATATACATTTGGTTTGGAACTCTTCTTTTCAGATGTGTTTCTATTTTTAAATATAACATTAAAGTCATGTAGCTTTCTAATTTATGGAGGTCTTTTTTCTCTGGTGTCAATCCTCTTTTGGCACATAGAGTGCCAGAATGAGTAGACTATGTCATTTTAGCTCTCATCTCTTGTATGTCTATTACAATCTTTTAAAAAAAAGATTTTTAGAGGTAACAATAATCCTTCAAGTAGAAGCTCAGCAGCAATATTTGGTCCCTTTGTAATACAACCATCAGTTCCCTTGAGACCATCAGTTGAGTTAATCTGAGTAGTGTCCATCTGGGTAATCAGCTGAATTGTTTTCCAATTTAATTTACCCCAAACAGAAGCAGAGGCCAAGCCAAGCCTTCAGTACTATTGCCTGCCAGTTCAATGGAGGAGAGTTTAGGGCAGGGGTGTCAAACTACCAGCCCACAGGCCGGACGCGTCATCCAGAAGCCGCGCCCACCCCATTGCTGGCAATGGCAAAACCGTCCCGATACATTGCGCGACGTTGCGTGACATCGTGAGTTTGACATCTGCTTTAGGGATATCATAAAATCTTGCTTTCCTAATCCAACACTTCATGGGATATCAGAAATTTCTTGAAGAAAGTGAACAGAGAATCTGTATTTCCCAAATGGTAATTCCACTCACACACTCACATTTTGTGTTATTTTGTGTAATCAGAATTTCCAGTGACAGGGTCTGACTGAATTGATTACTAACTGGGTTAAGTCTGTCATAGGAACAGGATAAAAGTGATATATTTGATATGCTTTTTAATTTTTTTATTGTATAACATGCATTGTGGGGGTGCTTTATGAAAATATGTTTGATTGAAAAGTTAAAAGGCTTTTCAGATTTGTGATATATATAAAATTAAAGCTATTTGAAAGTTTTATTTATTGTATCACAAGCATTGTGGGGGGGATTGTGAAAATATGTTTAATTGAAAAGTTAAAAGACTTTTCACATTTGTGATATATATAAAATTAAAGCTATTTGAAAGTTTTATCTGCCTGTGAAGTGAACTGGTATATTTTCTAGACATCAGAAGATTTTGGGAGATTAATTAAAATAGAGTGTAAACTTCACATTTACAAATTATCTTTCTCTTGGTGAAAACCTCAGTGCATTATCTTCTGGTTTTATACCATGAATCTTAGTTTAATGCAATTAACTTAATATTTTGACACATCAGCAAAGAAAAATAATGTACATTGAATCCAATTATGTGCTTCCAACATAACTAATCATTTTTATATTTGTGTTCAGCAGCAAAGGGAACAGCACAACAATAGGCCTAGTAAAGGTTTAAAATGAAATCCCTTGTCAATGACTGGCAGCTACAAAAATTAACGCTCCTAAATTGTAAGGCAAGAGAGGAAGAATATTTAAAAGCTCAGTAAGCATAAAAGTGTTAAATTTGAAATCATAGAAACATATCAGCTGATAGAGGAATGAACACAGAGTTCTCAAATATCTAATAATTAAACCAAAATATTTATTGGGAGAGCCCTGTTAGAGGAAGACAATATTAGACAACTCTTATATTGTCTATTATTTCAAAAGAGGCAAACCAATAGAGACAAACCAATGGGAATGAGAATCGAATGCTAAAATAGCATGTACAGATAAATGAAATATGGGGCTCAGTTTAAAAGAACCGGAAGAATGATTCTTTTATTTATATTCCCATATGCAGTAATAAAATAAAATGTTCAGCTTTGGAACCACTCTCATATTTATTACAAATATTTCCAAAAGATCCAACTGTATTAAAAAATATGGAAGACCATTCTTACTAAATACATCATGAACTCAAATCTAAGCAAAACTAAAAAGAATCAGGGCCTATATCAACTCTCCTCTATCACATACTTCTGGTACATAATTAAGATATTTTATCATAAAGTGTCTAAATGTGCCCATTGTTCATAAATATAAAGTGGAGGGTTTTCTTAAGAGATGCTTAATGTGCATCTCAAATTCTTAATTTTGAGTACAGTAATATTTTTATTCCAACAACAATGTCCCAGTTGAAACAGAGATGAAAGACTTAAATGTGAAACACACATCAACTAATCTTTAGTACAAGAAAGTTGACAAAGTTTAGACAGTTCAAGAATAGAAGGAATCAATACAGCAACCATAGTTGTGCAAACTGTTGATTTAATATGACCCAGAAATTGATCTACTCCAGCTGATTTCAGAATATGAAGATCTAAGATACTATTAAATACCTACATAGTTCTTGTAATTAGAGCTGCAATTAGAAGTTTCTCTTCTCAAGTTTAGTTATGTTAAAGTGGCATAGAAAATATCACAAAATTTACAGACCTCTCTATGAAACAGATGTTTTTACAATGAATTGTTCAAAATGTTAATCCTGGGTCAACTCTGTTTCTACATTCATTCATAGTCTTTGCCAACTTTCTACTGTAAAATGACTTGAGCTGCTAAATGGCACAGTGATTTATGATTTTAATGATGGTGCAGAATATTGACATCCTGGTGGAGAGTTATGTCTGGACAAGAGGAGGAGGAGAAGGAGGAGGAGATGACTCCATTCCATAAACAGGCTTCATGCAGATACAACATAAATGTAGCAGGATTAACATGCTTTCCAGGTTTACTAGCACACTAACCCAAGCTTGAATAATTTAAGCCATATATTACAGCTTACAGGCACATAAATATTGACTGGAATCCAAACTCTTGAATAACAAGAAAATTGCGGTCTGTGTTTACCTTAATCACAGATTCAAAAAAATAATGTTCCTGTTATGTCCTGGGCCGGCAGGCACAGGCTGCAGCGATTGGCCCGGGCAGACCATGTGGATGCTCAGGACAAGAAAGGCTGCTTCCAGCCTTTGCAATGATTGGCTAGCAAGGTATTGTGCAGGGGGGCTATAAAAGGGGGCCGCACCATTTTAAAACCTGTTCTGTTGCACTAAAGAAGACCGTTGGAACTCATTGCTTCGTCTCAATGCCTCTTTTCCTGAAACAGAACATTGGTAATGAAGGTGGGATGCCTGCAAGGCAAACAGATTAAGCAGCCAAGCTGACTCACCACAGGGGGGCTTGCAGCTCAGAGAAGTGTGGCTCCTGGAGATTGACTTAGCCTGCCAGCACTGAGATGCTGGAGGTGAGCTCAGAAAAGGGGGCCCCTTCTCAATCCTTGCAGCACTGAGACGAAGCAACGAGTTCCAACAGTCTCCCTGCACAATACCTTGCTGGCCAATCATTGCAAAGGCTGAAAGAGCCTTTCTTGTCCCGGGCATCCACATGGTCTGCCCGGGCCAATCGCTGCAGCCTGTGCCTGCCGGCCCAGGACATAACAGTTCCCTTACATTTCCAGTAAATGAAATACAGTACTCTCTTTTGAAGCTACAAGTGTAACAGTTAGACCAAGAACCTTAGAGACTTGTATCCAGGGTTATCCCTATCATGAAAGTTCATTAGATGATTTTCAGGGTCATTATTTTCAGTTCAAGTTACCTGACAGGTGGTTGTGGTATGGAAAAATGTTAGTGCTCCACTTTCAGCTTTAATCTTTTAAAAACAAAATGAAAATGCATATTACAGCAAGCCATCTGACTCAGCAAAAAGATATTCACATTTTAGTGTAGGACAGCACAATAAGTTTATTTCTTTTTAGATGTCTTGGGTAAATTTACAACAAAATTTTGTGCAAGTATTTGCAGAGCTCAGAGCTCTTCTAAACTTTCTTCTCTGGGCTTTAATAATGAAATAATGGTGCAAGATGAAAGGACACAAGAAAATCAATCTTCATCTGCATTTCCAAGGCATATTAGACAAGGTATCTCCTTCTGCAAAAGGGAGGGATTGTTTTTCTTTCAACTATAATCTCCTGAATACCAAATTCACTTGGTGACTTTCTATCTTATGAGTCAGTAGCAAAGTCCAACATTCTTCCAATGTTGTTATCAGCAAAACTATGCTATCAGCTTGGGACAAAACTTACCACCGAACATCTGTACAGTTCTTGGAAGGGAGGAATTATATGACATAGGTCATGGCACCGCTGACTCAAAATGATTTTTCATGCATATTTCCAACAGGCTAATAAAACTATTCCCTTTTTCAACACACTTTTGGCATCACATAAAATGTTTCTCTGACCATGTTCTAACCTGTTTTCATTCCTAACTAGGATCACATTCTCTTACTAATGTTGTCATGTAGCCATCTCCTGTCTCTATAACACTATAACCCTATCTTAATACTAAATTAAAAACTAACATGAAAAGATATTGAGTGCTTACTCTATTGAAATTGCTTTTTTCTAACCAGAACTTGAGCAGATTTTAGCTATAACTATTTATTTAACTATACTGATTATTTAGGCTATATGGAACTCTCCTAGGAGGATTTCATTCTAAAAGTCTGAGTGCAAATATTTGAATTAGACATAAATGGCTGCTTTTGCTTCTAAAGCACCAAACAGTTCAAAGATTAATTTGGCAATCATTAACACACATTGAATGTCTGATTTTTTTTAAAAAAATGTTACTTTATCTATTTTTCAGCTTATACTTGATGAAGAAAAGTGAATAGGAAATAATTACCATAGATTATATTGATTAATATAAGGAAAGTCAAAATTATCTTCATACACCAATTTGTTGCATGCACAGCCCAATGTGCTCATCTTAGTGACTGACTTTCTCTGCAACGGTGAAGATGGTCTGTCAATATCCTATTCCAAACTGTTTATATTTCAAATGTGAAAACAAAACCTTGAACTTGACTTGGTTATTAAAGGCTGCCCAGCAAAACAGCTGTGTATATAGGAGCAGGCAGGAACAGTGCGATAGCAGCTTTATGACCTTGGAAAAAGAGGTAGCTCTTTCAGTGATTCAAAGGAAGTGCTTCATGCATGCTCTGCATAATAAGAAGCCCTCCCTTTGAAGGATATGCAGAGCCAAAGAGGACACTTGTTTCATTTCTTTGTTTGTTCATTTTATAGAACCACCCATCTTGCATATGTGACTTTGGAAAGATTACGAACAAACAAAAACAATACCAAAAAAAAACCATAAGCAAAACAAAAACATTAAAATAGCAAAAACTATAAAAACATAACCAGTGGGAAAATGCAGTTAATTCACTAACAATGTAACCACTTTGCAGGCTTCACATCTTGTGATCAAATCCCCAAGCCAGATGGCAAAACCATGTTTTCAAGCTCTTCTGAAAGGCCAGCAAGGGTGGGATGAGACATTTCTTTGTGGATGGGACCCACAACATGCCTTTTCTGTTAGAGTGGATGGGATGAGTAGATGCAATTGGGAACAGATGGTCCCACTAACTTGAGTCTTCAATGACAAAGCTGACCCACTCCTAAGTACATTTTCTGCAATGCCACTTAGAACAAGTCAACCACCACGCAGAAAGTCTCCATCCTCTTAAGGAGTCAACTTGAATTTATTGGCCTCCCCTTTCCTAGCATGGAATCAAGAACTGATTCAGACCATGTGCAGCTTGACTTGTTCAGATGTTTGGGAAAAAATAGAACCAAGTACCAATCATATACTGATAACACTTCACCGAAACCTCTGGTAATAAAATAGTGACATGAAACTGCCAAGCTGTAGAACCTTAAGTGCTCAGTACCAGATCATCTCTGAAAACTTAGATCCTTAAAATGACTTAGACATTTGCCCCAATTTGATTTGTGCGCTTACTTATAGGATTGCACATACTTCTGGTTTTACAACCACTGTGATTATCCCAAGAATTAAATAAGCTTTTTAGCAACTATCTGGGTTAGCAACCATTCACAAATATAACAGTAATAAAAATATTTTCTAACTAGTGCATCCATTTATGACCAAATTTCATGAGCCTGACACCAATCTAGCCAGGTCCCAGTGGCACTTCTGGTTTCCAGTTTCCTCTTAAGTGTCTCTTGTTCACTACCCTTTGCTATTTCTCTTTGGAAATCTTTGTAAAGAGTTTAACTGGAATGTGGCTGCAACTGTGCTATGAAGGTTGGGATCAGCATTGCCTTGTGAAATAATTAGACTAAGAGAAACTGTTCCTTTGGGGAAACAGTGCCCCATTTCTTGAGTAGTAAGTTAGAGTTTAAACAGGTAAGAGAAGGTAAGAAAATGAGGGAATAGTTAGAGTAATTCATCTATGAGTAGGTTTTAGTTAGAAGAATCATTTAGAGCAGCGGTTCTCAACCTGAGGGTTGCGACCCCTTTGGGGGTCGAACAACCATTTCACAGGAGTTGTCTAAGACCAGGGGTTATTTTCTTATAGAATGCTCAGAATGGTGTTCCGGCACTTTTTTTTGATGGATTTTTTCAATTTTTCCATGAGCTGTGCTACTCCCTCTATGCTATTGGCTTTCGAAAGCCAATAGAATAGAGTCTATTGAATAGACTCGTAATCTATTCAATAGATTAAGAGTCTATTCAATAGACTCTATTCTATTGGCTTTCGAAAGCCAATAGGAATTGTCCAGACCTGGTCATTAACGGCTGCCTCTGCACTGCTGAGCGCGTCAAAAGACCCAGCCCACAAACGTTGCACATGCAAGTTGTCTGAAGCAAAGGCAAGTTTGCAGAAACTTTTCACCCCTCCCTGCTGAGCAACTATGCCATCTCCTACTTGTAAGTAAAAGAGGACAAGGGTGGGAGGTGAGAAGCAGCACTTAATTCTGCCCTGCCGAAAAAGCGGAGCCATGTGCACTCCTGCCTTGTGCTCACCTGTGTCAGCCAGGCTATCCATGTCATGCTGCAGCATGGAGAGCCTGGCACTGAAGCACGGAAAACATGTGCTCGCCTGCCTCGTGCTCACCTCATGTGCCATCGGTGTGCATTGCAGCTGTTGCTGTGGGAGCCACAGGGCCCACTTGACACAACGTGCCTACGTGGGAAAGGTGGTGGCGGAGGTGGCGCTGGCGGAGCAGCGGCCAGCACTGGGTGGGAAGGTGGCGTGCATGGGGCACGGCGGGTGGCTGACCTTCCTTGGTCCGGGCCAGCTGGTAGCCTAGTCGGTGCTGGACCTGTGCCATCACTGCCTCACCCTGTGTGCCTACATGGCCACCCTGGAGCGCCTGGCCCACGATGCTTGCCGCCGCCTCGGCCTACCCACAGCCCGCGCCCTCCCACCACCCTGCACTGGCATCTGGCTCGGCAACCATGAGCTCTGCGCCATCAGTGTGGTGTGCAGCTGGTGCTGTGGGAGCTGTGGGGCCCACTCTACACAGTGGGGCTGCACGAAGTGGGCAGCGGGTCTGGTGAGGTGGCTGCAGGCGGGGGTATGGGCAGCTGAACCAGCCGCTCCAGCTTTGGGGGGGCAGCCCACCACCAATGCCCTCCATGCCTCACACATCATATTCTTAGGAACCTGTCTCACTTTCAACTCCCCCTAAAATTCTTCATTCAGGCAGGCTTCCAGAGTTTGGCCGGCAGGTTGCAGGTAACCCCGCCCGTCTGTCCTGCCACCTCTCATGGCACCGCGCTGCTTCACATCCCGTGGCACAGAACCACTGGTGTGGTCCCCAATGGCCACTGATGCACTCCTCGCCACTGGCGACCATGCAAGCCCTGGCAATTGCTCCAGCTGAAGAAGCAGGTGGCTGGGAGGCCACTGCAGCGCCAATCTTCTGCGTCATCAGCTGGTGACCCCCTGAATGTGTGCTTGTCAGCTGGGAGGTCTGGCGATGGAGCCAGCCAGCATGGAGGGCAATGGGGAGATGGCGGCTCGGCAGGCGGGTTCCCGCCTGCCCGCAAATGTCGGGCTCATGGGCTCGACACAGAGTGGAAGGTCCAACATAACTTCACTCCTTGGATGAGAAAGAAGGAATCTCTCCTGCCCATGTCCCTTCCCCCCCCCCTAGCGACAACAGGAGGTTGCAGACAACTAAGTCAGCCAGTGCAGGAAGCCCTGGAATGGCCAGTCGAGAGTGCCTGGTTGCAGTGCTGGATGTCTTTTGCTCCTCCTAGAAGCCGGTGGCAAGAGAAAGAAGTCGTTCAAACTTCAAGCTAGCTACTAATGCCTATTCGCACTTTTTTTTCCTTTTTTTTTAAGTACTTGTCTGCCAACCCAACTCATCTGTAAAAGAAAAAGTCTTCCACCCAAGCATAACTTTTAAGGATTTTAAGGATCTTTGAGAGGAAGAGAGGGAGAGAGAAATAGAGAGAGGGAGAGAAAGAGGGAAAGAGGGAAAGAGAAATAGAGAGAGGGAAGGAAAAAGAGAGAGTGACAGGGAGAGAGAGAAAGGGAAAGGGAGAACGGGAGAGAGAAAGAAAGGGAGAGAAAGAGGGAGAGAAAGGGAGAGAGAAAGGGAGAGAAAGGGAGAGAGAGAAGGAAAGAGAAACAGAGGGAGAGAAAGAGAGGGAGAGAGAGGGAGAGAGAGAAAGAAATGGAGAGAGAAAGAAAGGGAGAGAGAGAAATAGAGGGGGAGAGAGAGAGGGAGAGAAAAAGGGAGAGAGGGAGAGAGAAATGGAGAGAGAAAGAAAGGAAAAGGGAGGGAGAGAGGGAGAGAGAGAAAGAGGGGGAGAGAGAAAGAAAGGGAGAGAGGGAGAGAGAGAGAAAGAAAGAGGGGGAGAGGGAGGGGGAGAGAAATAGGGGGAGAGAAGGAGAGAGAAAGAGAGGGAGACAGAGAAAGAAAGAGGGAGACAGAGAGAGTGGGAGAGAGAAAGAAAGAGGGAGAGAGAGATTAAATTAGTAACATGGTTGTTAAGTGAATCTGGTTTCCCCCATTAACGTTGCTTGTCAGAAGGTTGCAAAAGGCGATCACATGACCCTGGAACAATGTGACCATCATAAATATGAATCAGTTGCCAAGCATCGAAATGTAAATCACATGACCCTGGGGATGCTGCAACGATCATAAGTGTGAAAAATGGTCATAAGTCACTTTTTTCAGTGCCGTTGTAACTTTGAACAGTCACTAAGCAAACTGTTGTAAGTCAAGGACTACCTGTACTTCATCACTTTTTTCCATTTTGGGAGGGTCATCATGTTTTCGACACCTCGCTAGGTGACTGGTGGTACTCGAATGTTGTCATATTCTAAAAGTGGTACAATCGGTGAAAAGGTTGAAAAGCCCTGCACTAATGGACCAATTATTCATAACAGTACCAAAATTACAGTTATGAAGTAGCAACGGAAATAATTTTATGGTTGGGGGTCACCACAAGATGAGGAACTATATTAAAGGGTCGCAGCATTAGGAAGGTTGAGAACCACTGATTTAGAATATTTAGAGATCTTATAGATCAATGTCTTGACCCTGTTTATGAATCCCTGACCATCACAGACAAATGGTTTGTTAGAAATTCTGTTTATAGCCCTACAAAACAAACAGTGCACAGTCCACATGTGCTGATTTTCTTGAAGACCTGGACAAAAAGCTGTATGTTTGCTTACTGTCAAAAGACATGATAATACCTATTCACAGATTTATGTAGGATTGCAAGACAAGTGACACTGTAAGGTCACAGCAAACATTCCAGTTAAATTCTTTACAAAGATCTCCAAAGAGAAACAGTGAAGGGTAGTGAACAAGAGACATTTAAGAGGAAACTGGAAACTAGAAGTGCCACTGGGACCTGAATTATGTGTTTATTATTCCTAAATACCATCTTTCATTTTAGGAGTTTAAAATTTTCGCCTTTGTCATAAATACAAGTACAATTGATCCTTGTGAAGGACATTAGGATAAGAATTGTTTTAAGTATGACAGTATGCCACCATTCAACAGTGGTCATAAGCATAAGGTCATAAGCTTGCCTAGCTAAGAGCAAAGTGGAGAACACTCTGCCTATGAACCTTAGGACTTTGCCATCAATGACGTTCATCTCTGTGCTTAATGCTTAGCAAAATATCCCTAGTAGCTTGTCCCTCCATATGGATAAGACTCTGAGCAGCTGCTCTGAGCTGCATCTTCTGCCCACCTGTTGAGGCTTACAATACAGTATTTATATTGAAGAGCAAAGTCAGAAGGACATTTATGCACATGTGCAGTTTGAAAACACATATTAGTTCATCAGGTAAAACGTAATATAAATGCCACAGTTTTCTTTTTCTTTTAAGCAAAATCTCTAGTTGTTGACACTCTGCATTGTCATTGCGCTACCTCTTTTTTTGAAATCGGCTTCCAAAGTTGCACTTTAAACTTTGCTCATTCTGTGTCTTCATCAAAGGGCCACAGTTAAGCAGACAAAATTCAGCAAACTACGCCTAAGGAACCAAAATGGGAATTCACAAATGGATAATATGCTTTTTCTTATTTGCACTTATTACTCACTCCGTAGACCTAACAGGTAGGAAGTTTTATTCACGTAGTATTAACTGTTACTTTTCAAAAAAAGAAACAAGAGCACAGGGAAGGTATATACTAACCTCTTACTATTCTATATCTTTAAGAGTTAATCCCCAAATAATGTTTGTTATTGCACAGGAAGGAAAAATAAATCAGAAGAAGGAAGCTTTAGATCAGTACTGGCATTCAGAAATGAGTCATTCCATTTACCCCTCAATAATAAAGTGGGAATGCAATCCTATGCATGATACTTAGAAATTGTTCTATTGAGTGCTATCAGACTTACTGCCTAGTTAAGGGTAAACTGAGACAGCAGCCTCAGTGGCAAAACTAAGTGGCTTTTTTTTTTTTTACCAGAAAGAAGGAAGGAAGGAAACTGAATATTTTGTTCTTCTCTGTCTTATCTCCTCTATTGCTATAGATATTCTATATATAGAATATAGATATGCTTGGAAAATAAAGCCTGCAGATTTGTTTTCATATGAAGCATTGAAACAAAAATAACAGGGCTTAGCTTCTTGTACTTAGAGACATATTTAGTAACAAAAATGAGAGCCTTCCCATCCCCATTCAGTTTTATGTGTATATAGCATATAGGTGGAGACCAAAATTGTTGCTACCACATCCAATTTACTATTTTAATCCAGCACCAAACATATTCATTTTGCCTTTGTTGAAAGAGAATAAGTAATCCTCCCATGCACCTTCTCATCCTTTCATGATAAACTTTAATCATCTAATCAGTCACCTCACCCAAGGAAGGATATTTTCAATCTATTCCAGCTGTGGGGCACAAAGGCATGGGGCTGTTTTGGATCCTTTCCATACTTAAGAGGCTGGGCTGAGATGGGGATGGATTAGGTACTTTGGGAGGAAAAAATCTGATTTTTTTCCCTTGTCCTTCTGTTAAGTGTTCCTGAAAACAGAAGATGCAAATCAAGTCCTGACAAGATCCAAGCGTGCTGCTTTTATGTTGTTGGAGGAAATTCTCCAAGGGGATTTAGAAAGAGAATGCCTTGAGGAAAGGTGTACATATGAAGAAGCAAGAGAGGCTTTTGAAAACACAGAAGAAACTGTATGTATTTTCAAAAATCAACTATTCCCATACAGACAAGTTAATTCCCTTATCAGACAAGCCCCCTTGATGGCATTCTAATCGAGGTATGGCACAGCTATAATATCTGCAGACAATTTATTCTGGAATTGTAACCATTTCTGTACCAATGCAGGACCCTTAACCAGGGTGTTAGGTTTGCTTTCCATATATACAGTAACTCAGCCTGACACCTGTTGACCACTTTAGGTCAATGCAAGCATGCCTTCTCCACTCCAAGGTTTTATCTTTTATATTTAAAAGTTAAATATTTTCCTATGTTTTATAAATAATTCAAGGTGGTGAGTGAACATGACTGACCCAAGGCCTCCCAGCCAGCTTTCTTGCTTAAGGCGGGACTAGAACTTATAGTCTCCCAGTTTCTAGACCAAACTGGACCAAATATTTAAGGGGAGAGAAGCAAACAAACCTGCAGCAATCCATCAATCCCTGTCCATAATATGCAGCACCATTTGCCAGTACTGTTCTTATGAAAGCAACATATTTTGTGTGGATGTTTTTTCTGTCAGTTCAGGGAGTGATGGATAGTACTTTAAGTTGGCTGTGTGGAAGAGCCCAAAGCCAGGAGACAGTACAGTTAGTGTTCTGCAGAGCAGAGAAAATGTAGGGGGCAATAATACATTCATGATTTGCTGCAGCCTATCTCTGCAAAAAAAAAAAAAGGAATGGCATAATCACATCTATGTCTACTTAGCAATAGGACTCAGAAAGTTGAAAGATGTTGACCAAATGCTAGAGACTGATAAACTTTACACTGCAGTGTTGAGCAGCAGTCTTATGTCTCTTACACTCAGTTATTTTACATGTCTGCAATTACACAAGAAAACAATTACATTTCTTTTTTCTAGGATGAATTTTGGAGTGTCTATTTTGGTAAGTTCCTAAGAAGAAATTTAGAAATATTTTGTAATGGAAGAATGTTCAATGTTTATGTTATCTTATAAATCATCAGCTATGCTGGTATAATTTTCTATTCTAAAGGACACCCAAAAGAAGATGCTGCTATTAATGCAAATTTTGCTTTTTTATTCTTAGCCTTCTTTGGGAGGGAGGAACAAAGGAAGGAAGGAAGTAATTCTAGTCAGTATTATTAATCCAGATTCATTGCTTTAAATCATATGAAAGAATTTTCAAACAGTTCCAGGCTAGTCTTGCAGCAGTAATAAACAAACATAGAAATATCAAAACACAGTTTTTTCTTTTAAAATAATAGTGATATTTGAAGATTCTTTTTTAAATTTTTAATTTTTTCATAAATCATGCTCTCCAGTTACCTATTAAATGGGTCTGCTCATCCTTCACTAAGTTTTCTATGGTTTTTTACAACAAATTTATCCCTATGAATACCCCATTTTTATTTCTTGCTTGATCTGCTTTAATTTTTTTCCAGAAAAATACATCAAATCTTTCTTTAGAAAAACACTAAGCTTTTTCAGGGGACTTATTAGCAGAATAATCTCAAATCAGCTGAGAAGCATTTCAAAATAATCTTATTTATGCATGTTTTTAATTACCTTGAATTTCCTTCATAAGGGAAACTCAGGCTGATTTTAATTGATGGCAAAACAAGGGAACTGACTAAAACAGAAGTCGCCAACCTTTCTTGGTTGGCAGACCAGAGGGAAAGGGAGGGGGAAGCATTTTACGCATGTGTGCATGGGTGCCCGCGGACAGGGCTGCAAGCATGAGCGTGGTGTAAACAGGGTGGGGCTAGCACTTGTATGATACTCACTAACTCTGCCCCATTCTTGTGCACAGTGCCCTGTTTCTGCGCCCTGAAGCACGACGTCGGTCCATTTCCGGGCACTGAAGCGAGGCAGCATCCCATTTTTGTGCCCTGAGGTGTGGTGTTGACCCGTTTTCACGCAGTGCAGCAGCGCGGTGTCTTGTTTTTGCACCCCACGGCTGCGATGCTAGCACAAGTGTGGGGTGTGTGTGCACATGCACACATTGGCCAGCCTGTCCCAGTAGTGGGCATGGGCTGTTGGCCACCGGGCCTCAGCCCACAGGTTGGGGACGCCTGGACTAAAAATACACATTTATTAAAATTTAATCATGATAATTTATCTAGTTGCACTTGGAAGTAATCCACACGTTGGCATGGTGAAACTATCTCTGAATAAAGCAGAGGGTCAAACTGTGGTCTGCAGGCTAAAGATAGTCTCAGGCCCATTTTTGCAGTCAATAATTACTTTATATCACACTACCTAATTATTCCAGTAAAGTGCAAAAAGAGTGAGTTAAGGCTTTTGTTAAACAAACAAACAAAATTGCAAAAAACTTCTACCAGGCTTACGTTTATTTCATTTCTAAATAGTATCAGAAAACAGTAGAAAAGAACAGATTTTTTTTTCAGTTCTACTCCCCAAGTGACATTCCTAAATCATTGCTCCCTGCAATTATTAGAAGATGAAGATTTTTTGTTTCAAAAAATGTTCCACCCCTTAACAAAAGTTGCTTATATCTGGTATAAAAACTAAGAACAGAAATAATGCAAGCAGAATTTGATCTATTTTTCAGATATGGTTGATTTCCATCCACCTTTAACTGAGCCCATTGGTTTCTTTTGAGAATATCTGTGATCTGATCTTAGTTGCACTTTTATTGATGGTTCTTTTTCCCCCCATAAGAGTATTTGGGGGGGGGGTGTTGCTGCCTCATCAGGAATCCTCAGTCTTTTAGGGGCTACTGGCATTCAGGGATCACATGAAAAGGAACTAATGATGGGTGAAGCCAATTAAATAAAGGTTTTTGTTGCCATCAGCGATATGTATTGAGACTACAACTGGCCCTGCTGATTGAACGGTTATTTCTCATCTAGTGAATGCCTGAGTGGTGAACAGCACTCAGCATAGAAGAAATGATTTCAAAAATTTAAATTGAGCCTAGGAAATTCTTTTGGGAAAGTTGCTTAGTATCTTACAGATAAACATATGAAGAGAAACAAAATATAAACTCCCTTGTTAGGAAGCTCTAAATGCAGGTGTGTTTTTTTCCAGGTGGTATCAGGTGTTCTTCCAACCCTTGCCTTCACAATGGTGTATGCAGGGACACCATTCGCAGCTACACATGTAGCTGTACAGATGACTTTGAAGGAGTAAACTGTGCATTTGGTAAAACCAATTTTTGTTAATCAACCAGAATGTGTGCCATTACTTCTTATGAGAAATTAGTAATAGTTCAATAATGAAGGTACTATAAGTAATTTAGTTTGCTGTCTTCCAATACTTGGTGCCATAAAATAATGTATAAGCAATATACGGTCACAATGGACATTTTTCTCTCTAAATCCTTTTGTTTTGCAAGCAGATATATTTGTCTAGAAGAGCTCTACTGCAAAAGAAGGACCGGGACCTGCTGGAGGTTAACTAAATAAGGAGTAGGGAACTGATTCTGCCCAGTTCCCCTTCCTCTGCAGCATTTCAGGAGATTCCCCCATCCCAAATATATTTTTAGGAGAAAAAAGCCTGCTGTCACATTGTTTTGGTGGCAACAAGGCCAAGAATGCTTAAGTGGTATTATGTATGTTCGTTGCCTTGAATAATAAAATTGGGATTAAAAACCTAATAAATAAAATAATATAAATAGTACTTTCTCTTCTTCTTCCCAAATGTCCTGCCATGGTTGAAGAACTCCCACTTCTCTTTTCCCTTTTTTCTTTTTTGATTACAGTACAGACCTTTTCCTTCCAATATTGTCTCACTGAAGACAAACCACACAATAGCAGTCATACGATTTTCCATTGTGTATATGCATTTGCTAAATGAAAAGTACAATAAGTCTTTAATAGTCATCTATTTTTATGAGGGTAGTAAAAGCTGAAAGGAAAAAATGATTAAAAAAGAATTACTCACAGCCCATCATCTAATGATATATCACTGTATCTTGCCACACTTCATAGAAAATTACACGGCCGTCTCTGTACTTTATTCATACTGTAAAGGAACTGAACTTCTGCTTAATCGGTACATTGAAAATGACAACAATATGGGATGTTTTGGCTGCAGGTACAAAATTATTTTACCATGAATGATCACAACTAGATACAATCCAGCCATTTCAGTCCATTGTGGGACTTTTCCCACTCTTAGTTTCTCAAATCTACTACCCAAATTTAAAGCTGATTCTCTGCATATGATTCATTCCAAAATTAGTCATACTATAATCCGAGAAGAGTGGCAAATAACAATGGGACTTTATGCAATGATTTCAATGAATCTTCTCTATGACTAAATCTGGGTGCTACTCATCATTCACCAGAACACAGCTGCAGCTTTTGATTCCAAAAACCAGGGCTTTTTTTCTCATAGAAGGCCCAGAACAGAGTTCCAGCACCTTTTTTGGATGGAACCTTGTAGGGTAAGCAAAGCTGGTTGTATGACGTGTGTGAGTTCTGGCACCTTTTTTTTTTTTTTTTTTAGAAAAAAAGCACTGCCAAAAACACTTACCAACAACTTATGGGAACTACAATGAATCTGTACGTCTCAGAGAAATAAAGTCTGGCAAATGGCATTTTCAGAGATAAATTGAAAAAAAATAATAGCCACCAGAAAAAAGAACAAATATTAGAGAAACAAAGTTCTTGTTGTTTTTTTATAGAATAATTTTATTTTTTACTTCCCATTTCATGTTTGCCTTCTAAAAGCGGCAATTTATTTTCCATAGCTAAAAATGAGTGCCGCCATGAAATCCACAAAGGGTGTCAGCATTTCTGCTATCCAGAATTCAACTTTTACCGCTGTTCATGTGCCCAAGGCTATGAATTGGGGGAAGATAGTAAATCATGCATTCCACAAGGTATGTATTTATTTTTTAAAGGTAACCCAGGAGTCTATATTGTATAAATAATAAGCAAAAGAATTAAAATTATCTCTGGTTCATTTGTCAGTAACTGAAGTTGCATTAAGGACTGGGAGAAGATTACATATTACAATAACCCCTTGATTATCTGTGCAAAATGTAGCTCAGTCTAAACATAACAGATAATGTAAACACAACTCATTGCTACTCCCTTTAGAGGAGGTTGGGTCTCCAATCATAAGAAATGATGAACAGTTTTGATCCTACTGCAGCTTTGCTCTACAATTCCTCAGAAAAATCAACTATCAGTAAACAACAACACACATAACAGAAAGTTGGAAGGGACCTTGGAGGTCTTCTAGTCCAACTCCTTGCTCAAGCAGAAATTTCAGACAAATCATTGCCCAATCTCTTCTTAAAAGCTCCAGTGTTGGAGCACCCACAACTTCTGGAGGCAAGTCATTTCACTGATCAATTGTTCTCACTGTTAAGAAAGTTCTCCTTAGTTCTAAGTTGCTTCTCTCTTTGATTAGTTTGCATTCATTGCTTCTTGTCCTGCCTTTGGTGCTTTGTAGATAGGTTGACCACCTCTTCTTTGTGGCAGCCCTTTAGATATTAGAGCACTGCTATCATGTCACACTTAGTCCTTTTTATTAAACTACTAGACATATCCAATTCCTGTAACCATTCTTTCTAGATTTATTTTAAATTTATTTATTTCTACATTTTAAAGTAATAAAGTTTAGAAGGTGTTTGCCATCTCCCCTAGTCTGAATACCAAAGTTTTGTGGGAAAAAATAATCTAATTCCACTATACAAATTGCTAGGGCTTTTTTTGTCACAGAACGCCCAAAACAGGGTTCCAGCACCTTTTTTGGATGGAACCTTGTAGGGTAAGCAAGGCAGATTGCATGACATGTGTGAGTTCCAGCACTTTAAAAAAAAAAAAAAAAAAGCACTGCAAATTGCAAATGGTAGCAAAATAGTTAAAGTATGCTTGCTTTCATCAACCAAACACCCAATTTCTTGTTTAAAAAACATTTATTTTAATCAAATTTAACAAAAATAGTTGCTTTTGAAATCTACCTATTAAAAATGACATTGTTTCTTTTCTTACAATGTATTGCTAGATGAATGTGCCTGCGGAAAATTACAAGATCCTCTTTCATGTCCACCCAATGCAGCTGAAAAGCTTGACAGAGAATTCCCCTGGCAGGTACCCAAAGAGATGGAAGAGCTCCTGAGTTGGTCTGGCTTTGGGGGCTCAAATGGAGACTTGTAATGCTTACAGGTGGTCAAATCCAAATCCAAATCATGACTGTAGATCAGAAAAATAAAATTTAAAATATAAATTACAAAACAAAATTAAAATCAGTTTAGGGAGTTAACTGATATATCTTTACTGCTGCCCATCAATAAGTGGCAATTCTCCTTATTTCATCTTGACATAATAATTTAGTACAGTACAATTTTCTTGGAAATTGAGGACTGGTATATATAGTACTTTCACACTTGTCTATAGTAGTCTCAATAAAGGAGGAGGGATGTACTCAACAATTTCTTTTTCTTCAGAATCACATGGACGTATTTCATGTGTGTTGTATTTAATCTTATATCTAGCTCTAAAGGATTTTTCCCTTAGGCTGGGAAAGGTTAACATATTCCAATAATTCACAGATTTCATGGTAATGAGCATTCCGAAGCGCCCTTTTAAGGAGCTAATTCTGGCCTTTTGGCTAAGATGAAGTGTAGTGTGCACTGTTTAAAACTTTGTGGCATCAGAGAGCATCAAATTCTTGTATTATTTTTGGAATTCTACTCAAACAATAGCAAACATTTTTTAAGAGAATTACAGCTGGATAATCCTTCTTATCCATTTGTGATTTGCATAAATTTTTGCTAGTACACTAATCTGGATTTTCTACTCCATATTCCTTACTAAATCCCACCTGGCCATAATTCAGCATAACCCAAATGGCTTAAAATCAGGAGTTTGGTAGCACCTTTTCCAACTAAGAAATTTTAGTAAAAGGCCAAAGCTGCTATAAGCTGCACAGCTTTTCTCCTATGTTAATTGACTTACCAACTACCCAGTTCATAAAGACAATGATTACAGCTACTAGGTAGCTTTCCTTATAAAGCAATCTTGAATGAAATAGCAACATATCCTGTCTAGTGGATGTACAGGTAGTCCTCAACCTACAATTGGTCACTTAGTGAACATTCAACATAATGACAAATCCCCAAAAGATACTTATGACCTGGTTCTGGAATTTTGACAGTCAGCCCCCCCCTCCCCCCGTGGTCATTTGACAATATTTCATGTACTCAGCAAGCCATTTGCAGCGTCCCATTGTCATGACAATTTACAATTGTTTTGCCAGAAACAGGTATTTACTTCCAGTTTTCAGAAAAAACAGCAAATAATGGTTTTGCTTAATGGCCACGGCATTTGTTTAACGACTGCAGCTTCACTTAATGACCATGATTTGCACAACTGCCACAAAAAAAATCATAAAATTAAGTCAGTCACGTGATGACCTCCTTACTACTTATGACCTTAATGGGCAAGCTGCCTATAAAGAACAAGAGAAACCCTAGTCTGCTCTGTTTTTAAGGTCTTGCTGTTAAATTCAGAAGGAAAGTGGATCTGTGGAGGTGTTCTCCTGAAAACTAACTTTGTATTGACTACAGCTGAATGTGCAATGTTGTCTCCTGTTAGTGCTGTGGTTGGTAAGTAACTTAATAACCATTTCTTTCAGTATTGGGAATGTCAAAGAAAGAAACTCAAATATATCAAGTAAAAGTATTAGTAAATTCAGAATGCTCACCCTGCAAATTTGTCTTGCTACTGTTTGGATGGATGGATGGATGGATGGATGGATGGACGGACAATAGACAGATCTGCTATCACCTTCACTGTTCCAGCCATCTTTGCCTAATCTCAAGTTATTGTCAGCCATCATTAATGAATTAATTTGGATGGGAGACTTTGTAAGAAAATCCCAGCGCTGCAGGCTACTCTAGAAAGTCCAAGAACATTTTACAAAGTAGTTATGCAAAGTGCTTTTTCAGTGTTGCCAAGAAAATTACATGGTGCATCCATGATACCACCATGAATCAAACTTGAATCAAGCAAGTTTTTTAACCTTTTATTTTAAGCAAGAACTGGACAAGAACAAAGAAATGTTAAGGAACAGTAACATTGCATTCCCTCAGTGCACACATGCATCATGTAGCTGCAGTGATGCCAAGAAACCTCTCAGAAACTTTTCTTAAAAAATAAAAACATATTGAAATGTCACAAGATTACTAAGATTCCTGTCTTCTCACACAAGATCTTAATAAATGTTAAAATCTCACCTGATCCGGTAATCTGTGGCCATTTATTTATTCTTCCCTAATATCAGTGAAAGTTATGTGATGTAGAAAAGTTGTGGTCCGGTGTGATTGTGGATATAATCCTTATGTTATTCCCTGTGTGGCAATTCCTTTCATACAAATTGCACCATGCAAGAAATGATGGGTTACAGTATGTTTGCTGCCATCTGACCATAGGTATTTTTGCAGACCCTGTTCCAGTCACTGCAGCCTTTCCCCCAAACCACAAGATCCTTCTAAGTGTGACAAAGGTTGCCAGCCTAGATATTCCACTATGTAAAATTGGTGCAACTTCCTGCCACCTCTTCCTTTTCCGTTTTTGCTCCAGGACAGTGTCTACTCTTCCAAGCAAAGTGAATAAATTTTGCTATCTTTGTTAGATTGAACAAGGATCATAGATACTGAGCAGACCCAACAGATCCCAAAAGAGATGCATAATCCATATATTTATAGATATATGGATTAACTATATCCATATATATATTTAAATATTTTCAAGACAACGTTCCAAATAAGCACAGAATTTGTTTTCTATTCCGTAACATTAGCAACTTAATTAGTAAAGCAAGATGGCATTTTTCATTTGTTTAATGTAAACCCAGTTGAAAGAAAAGCTATTGACCAATGAATACATTTTTTTTAACCTGTTCAGGAATCAAGAAGTTGCAAGAATTGAATCAAGTAATACCAGTGAAAGAGTCAAATATACACTTCCGCTATGACAACACCACTGGCGAGAATAACCTGGCATTGCTTGAGCTTAGCAGCCAAATTGATTGTGACAGTAACCATTTACCCATATGCATTCCAGAAAGGGATTTTGCAGAGCACGTGTTGATTTCAGAAATGGAAGGAACTCTTAGTGGATGGAATGCAAACAGAAGTCATCTGACACCCAGCCTGGTAGAGAAACCTATTTCCTACCTCAGTGAGAATGATTGCAAGCAAATTCTCAACAGAAATCTGATAACAAGGGAATTCTGTGGTTACAATCAAGTGCAAGCAAAAGAGATGCTTCTGGGAGGAAGTTTTATAGCTGTTCCCTATAAAGGCACATGGTTTCTCACCGGAGTTTTAGAACCATGGGCAACAGAAATAATTAATTTGAAAACATTTATATTTACCAAGACCTCAAGATACATGATGTGGTTTAAACGAATAATGGGATAATGAAATATAAAAATAAAAAAATATATAGAAAATGAGTATTCAGCGTATTACATATTCAGGTTTGAACCACTACTGTAAATATTAGGTATGACTATCTATGAAAATAAAACTTTTTGCTTTTCACAAACAAAGCAATGATTCACTTCATTTGCCTCTGTGGAAAGATTTCATAGAACATCCAGAGATAGAATCAGTATTTGTTACCCAATAAATCCCAGTACCAATTTCTCTGATTGTGTGATTTGGTATTAAATTTGACTATCTTTCCCCAGTAATGTGTATTTAATTTTGTATTCTCTTCAGGGAATCATTTGTGAGATCACTGGTTCTAATATATAAACATAAAGAAATACAAAGGAGAAAATGTAGCACAATGACCTAAACAAGAATTTACAAATTACACCACTGTAAACTAAATTCATTGTATTAGCACTGCAGATAATTACTTAAAGATATGCTTAATAAAAGCCCTACATTGCTTATAGATGCTAAAGTCAAATTAACAACATAGCAGCCAGTCTCACTGAAAGTACCCTTAAATTGTAAATTTAAAAATGTAAAACATCCCAAAATGGGTTCTGTTTTTACTATTATTTTTCATTTTCTACATTTAATTAAACTTTGAAAGATAACACATTCGGTCATTACATTTTTTAAAAATATATAGCAATATTAAAATTGAAAACATTATCATCACATTATGAACACTGAGTTCACCAGAGGTTATCAACAGAATATAATGCTGTTTATTCAAATTGGGATTTTTTATCAAGAAAAAGCCACAAAAAAGTTCTGCTGGAACAATACACAGTTCATTCTGTACCTATTCTGAAAACAGCCTTCCAGAAGGCGGTTTTGAAGATTACAGAGAGGGGACCGCAATCATTTCCTTTGAGTGGAAGAAAGTAATGGAGCCATTCGTTCTCTTCTGTGCTGCAGCCATCTCTTCAACAAGTCCTTGCCAGTTCTCCATTGCGTTGTCCTAAATATAAGACTGTTCCACTTTTTAAAGAGGGCTTCTCCAACCGTAATTCCCGTCCAGGAGCAACATTCCTCCATCTCAGTTCAGCATACAGTAGAAAGTGGAGGGAAAGGATTTTGCTTGCTGACGACAAGCTTCTGATGCTGATGTGATATATAGCCCTTAATGTGACCCTAGTTTGGGGAGAAAAACCCACAAGCATCAGCCTGGTAAATCTAGAATAATTTACATATTTCTCTTAGGTTTCAATATTTATTTAACTATGTATATTTTTTCCATGTATGCTATTTTTGAAAGATTAATTACAGATCAGAGCAATATTATACACAGGGACATGCTCTTGTGTGAGGTTGTGTGATTTAGGCACTAGATAATTTGAATAAGCATGTACAGGGCTCAGGGCTAATGTGTGGTAATGAGTAAGAGTAGGTAATGTAAGTGAGATTATAAGATTAATAGATTATTTTGTATCAATATTCAAGTAGGAAACAAAGTCACTGCAAACAACATATTCTGAATTAATGCTCTTTTTCCTGGTCTTGAATAATGTCATTACCCCACCTCCCCACCCCCCAAAAAACAGATTTTTCTTGTTTTGCACAAGTGCCTCAGGAGAATGATAATCCCAAACTGAATCCTCAACTCACAAACCAGCAATTACAAATTAGTCCATTATTCCCAAGATATGCCCAAATTACCTCCAATTTAAGAACTGTTGTTCTAAATCAATTTGGCATCCTCCAGATTAGCAAAACATAAACACATGTATTTATAAAGTTAAAGTTAAAATACAAACACATGTATTTATAAAGTTAAACTGAGATGTTTTTTCACCATGCTAGATCAGAATTTGGGCAGTTAAAATTCAGCACTGGTTGGAAGGCACTAGACTGGGAAAGGTGCACTAAAAGGTATCAAGCAGGTATAAAGGAATTGCTTTTCTTGAATCAACATTGTGTTATATATAATCCTTTCCACACATCATTGCTGCTGATACCTTGAATGTCTATTTTCCCTGAATCTGTTCTCTTCCAGCTATACCAAAACTATGAATTTCTAAATTCTCTGCCAATTTGGCCACTGATTAAGGTGGCTGGGAATTTTGGGATCTGTTACCTCAGTGAAGCCCAAAGACACAAGGCTGAAAAAGGCTGATGTACTCTCATCCTAATACAGAACCTGGGGCAGCTGGCAATGTTTCTCTGACTATAAGCTAGTGATTAATACACCATTAATACAATGTTGGAGAAATACCTAATTGAGAAAAAAATTGTCCAGTTCCATTGTCCTATTGAGTAACCATTTGTCCTTTTATGCTTATGAATATACAGAGTACATTCACTGTATATAAGTAGGATTTAGAGACATTAAAGTTATAGTACAGCAAGCTTACAACAACAGCAAATGTTGTTTCTATCCATGCCATGTTATGAATGCCAACACTTACCATGTAAATGAGATTAGCCAAAATGCACTGGACTTCATCAATATCGACATCAGTGACTTTCATGAATTTCAGGGCAACCAGAAAGGCATCTAGAGCTAGCTGGTGAGTTTTAAGTAACAAGTATCTTAAGGAAAGAAAAAAAGAAACCATCACAGTTTCTATTATTGGCAGTAATTCCAATCTAGGCTATGCCTCAACCTCCAGATCTATCTCCTTGCTGGCTACTTATATTTCTGTGAATGGAAACATGTACAAATTCTACTTTTCTGAGAAAATTATTGTAGATTCTATCATATAATCTGGCGGATCCAGCCAAATTTCATTTAGGGAGAAAAGGTGCATTAAAGGGCAAAACTGTTTCAACCAAGGTACCTCAAATGGGCCAACTTACAGAATGTCGGGACCCATTACTCCCATGGGAATGAAATTTTGGAAAATTCTTGCTGTTTCAGCAGAGCTGCACTGCTATTCAGTGCCACTGCTCTGCTGCCATGGTTATGTGACCCTCATTTACAACATTCCCTGACACCTTCCCATAAGTCAATGGGGAAGCCTGGGAAGCTTGCAGGGAGAAAGTCAAAGGGGACCATGTGACCATGGCTGATGACAGGAGCACTGTGGCAGATCTGGACTTGCATTCTCTGTTTTGGTGAGGAAATATATCTGAAAGGATGACCCAATGGATCATGAGTTATCTAGTTAGTCCCTAATATTTGGAACCAAACTGTCCCATTATTACTTTATTTGGGGAATGAAAGAGAATCTTGTCATTTTACTAATAGATTAGGGTTAAAAGTAACCCAAAGAAGCAAACCTGGTTATTCCAGAATAACTCAGTTCATTAAAAGTATTAATTTAATAACTATAAATGCTTAATCAAAATAGAACATAAAATTCATATAAACCAAGCTTCACTTTATTCCCTGACTATAACTTTTCTCGGCTTGTCTGAATTGTTACTACAATCAGAAATTCCCATTTCAGAGACCTCTCTTTTTTTTAAAAAGCATGGAGGGACAGTTTTTCTCTTACCAGATATTTAAAATAAATGTTGCAAGCATGTCTCTGAAAATTGAAAGCATTTAAAACAATAGATTCCAGACGCTTCTGAAAAACATACTACTGATTAAAAAAAAATACTAGCAGAAATTTCCATTTAGGAAAATGGTTAAAAGCAGAGGCTCTTCACTCAACAAAAAATATTCCTTACAGTAAAGGAAAAGTAAGTAGTATAATTCTGGTTAATGTGGCCTTTTCCCTATTATAACATCATACTGTATACCAGTGGTATCAAACTGCCGACCCGCGGGTCAGATGCGTCACGTGGAAGCTACACCCACCCCATTGCTGGCAATGGCAAAAACGGCGCGAGTTTGACATGCCTGCTATATACAGTTAATGACACCTTAGCCATGTCAAGCAATATAAATGAAATTCTTACACTTTCTTGAAGAGATTTCTGTAGGTGATGATTTTCAACTTCTCAAGAATAAGAAAGATACCACAGCGAATGAAAAATGTCTCATGTTTTGCCAGAGCATCGTTTAATAAAAGAAGGTTCCCTTCACTAAAGGAATTAGAAAATCAAGATTTTGAACATTCCCAAAAATTCACAGTGACTGTATATACATATAACTTGGGATGCATAATAACCTTCTGAGTGATGAGCAACAAATAGCTTCATAGGAATTCATCAATTTATTTGACTTTTCCAGTATCTTTGCCTCTCCCCCACAGTCAAGAGGAAGAGTAAACTAAAACTCTGTTTCACTTTAACCTGACATGTTATTAAAGGAGAATGTGGAGAATTCTAATCTAACAGTCCAAGAGTTATAGACTTGTTCCATGTTTATTTTGCTGGCTTACTCAGAGGTGTTATCTAAATTAAGCAAGAATCATTATGCAACAATGGTAAGTAGTGGCCCATTCCCATTTTCTCTTTTCTCTGAATTCCCAAACATAATTACTTCTTCCCACCCTACATCAAACTATAAAGACCCTGAAAGCTCTTTCACAATCTAGTGAAAGCATCATTACTACACACTACTAATATCTTCCCATTGCAAGCAGCTATCTTGCTGCAAGAAGAGATACAACAGATACACCATCCAATTGCCCAGAGAGAATCATTAACTTAGCATTAGCAACCAGCATGATATTCCTCAGAAAGAAGCCCAGAAATAAATTAACAACCAGTTTACAAAAATCAGACCAAATCAGTAAATTAACACTCCAGTTTATATGAAAGAAGAGGTCTAGTCAAAGTAAAACAGAATTTTACTTTGTTCTTCCTTCTGATTCCATGGAGGAGAAAGTCCACAAACCAAGATTTTGCCTGAGATGTTTCTGCTTGTGCACACCACACTAAACCAATATTTAGAGACACCAATATTAAGCAAATGGATTGGCAACTTTTTGGATTCTGGGATCTATTTTGCAAAAAATGGTAGGGCATTAGTACAAAGCAGGCAGAGTTACAACTCATGTAGTTATGGTTGGGATGTTTCATTTATATCCTGGGGAGAGAAGAATGTTGGTTTAATTTGCTTTACAATTCTCATTATTTCATTACACTTGTATGAAATTAGGGACTAAGAAGAGGAAGTAGAGAAAAAATCTGTGGTTTTTTTCTTGATTTGTTTTAACATAAAGCAGTTTATGTTACATTGTAAGACAAATATAGTTTGCAGTCTTATTATACTAATAGGATTATAAGTATGTAATTCCATAAATGAAACTTACCTCACAGCTTTTGTAACTTCTGCAAATTGCATGAGGTCATATTTTTTTAAAAGCTGGACCATTGGCATATGCCCCTGAAAATCCAAGTATAATTTTAAACTCAATGCAAAAAATTAGAAACACCAATAATCAGTTTTTTCCTAAAGCTATAAATGGTCATGAGTTGTTCTACCACCACAGCCAATTTCCTAGCACTACAGAGACTGTTTTTGACTGTATCTTACCCCAAATAATATCCAGCATTTGTCAGATTCCAAACTGGGTCATATCATATGGGGACCAAAGTCATATCTCTAAAATGTCCTACAGCCCATTTCCATTACATATTATTCCTAGTCGGAATGCCATTTTTGAACAGAAAGCCCAATTTGAAAGACTAATTCTGATTCTAGCAGAAAGAATCTACTGCAGTGGTTCTCAACATTTGTGTGACGGCGACCCCCGTCACACAAACGTTCTGCGCATGCGCGGCGCCGCGCACATGGGGGAGCGCTGCCCCCATGCACGGCGTGCAGCGTGGCGCCCCCATGCACGGCGTGCATGCGCGGCGGCGCCTCCGTGCGCGGCGCGTATGCGCGGCGCCGCCCCCTGGGGGGAGAAAATGGCGGATCGTCTTCTTTGGCGACCCCGAAAAATGGTCAATCGACCCCAAATGGGGTCGCGACCCATAGGTTGAGAACCCCTGATCTACTGAAAGCAGTCATACTACCTTGGATTTGGAATTGTGAGTTTTGCATTTAGCAAAGGATATCAAAGAACCTATTCTTTCTCTTCTTCCTGTGTTCTGAAGTTTAAACTACAGTTTATTCCTAAGTGTTTGCAACAGGAGTTCCAATTAAGCAGTTCTGGAATTTCATTAATGATTCCAGCTCTCTGGAATCCAGCTTGTCATTCTCAAACCAGATCTGATGGCATACTCTGTGCTCAATCCAGTTTCAAGTTTTTCCTGACTAACTGGAGTTACAAAACACAACTAACAAATTTATATGCCTAATGGGTCCCAAATCTTACATGTCTTCTGTAAACTTTTACTTATGGTGGGCAACTCCATAAATCTCTGGCTAACAAAGGGCTCATTCCCCAGTTCTTTACTAAGTACCAGAACATATTTTAAGACCAGAGATTCTAATGTGGCACTCTGCTGATATCCGACTTGATATCTATCAAGATACATATTCTCATAATTTTAACGTTAACATTCATTTTCATTTAAACAAGGTAGGGAAAGAATGTGTGACTTCAGGATTTCTTTACAACACCTTTGCCAGAAGGAGCCTTAGGAACCATCTGTACTTTTGTTTGGGTAATGAATTAACAAGTTGCAATTGTATTTTTGCTCTATCCTTAAACTATATCTGTGTTTTTTGTATATATTGGCTACATATACTCAACTCTGGATCACATGATCATGAAGGGGGAGGGAAGTGGGCTCAGAAGAGTGGAGTAGGTAGCATTCTGAGCCATGTCCTACAGCCTTCCCACATGGGGATTTTTTTTTCCTACAGTTCCAAAGGCAGATCTGGCCCACTATCTTTCTGTTGACTTCCAGATTTGTCTCCTTCTGTTTAATTTTTATAGAGTCATCCTGCTGCCAAACAAATAGACAACAGAGACAGTCCTGAGCTCTTTATATAATTTCTTTCCAACAGTTCATTAGGTTGGCAAGAATAAAAACAGAAACCCAGCATGCTACAAAGCAAAGTGCCAGCTTCTTCCATTACATTGAATGAACTCCAAACAGAGCTCTAGTCTTTCTTTTTTTAAAAAATGGACAGTTGCCAGCCCAAGCTTTGCAGAAACGCATTCCCATTCCCCATGTGGGAAGGCTGTAAGACATGGCTCAGAAAAAAGACATATCTTGAATAGAAATTAGAGTGGATGAAAGGGGCAGGTCATCAGATAATTTGTGAGAATGTCCAGGACATTCTCATAATTCCAAATTCTTTCACTATTCATCAAAAGTTCGGAATCTTTTCTGGAAGATTAGTAAATTCAAATGCCACTTACCAGTAACATTTTCACTGGCAGCAAATAAATCAATATCATTCTTTTATTTTTCTGACTGGACCGGTGACAGTGCTCAAAGGCAAAAGACAGATACTCTTCAGCTACAAGAAGACAAAGAGAGAAAGTCATCAGCACAGACCATGAGCAAGTACTGGGTGACGATACATTTTTTTTAGCAATCTTTCCAAATATAGCTCCATAGCCAGTCCTCCAGAAGACTGCAGATATCCTACTACAATGTAAAATTTAGCTCTTCAGAATAACAGAATAACAATCGGAAGGGACCTTGGAGGTCTTCTAGTCCAACCCCCTGCTCAGGCAGGAAATCCTAATCCATTTCAGACAAATGATTGTCCAAAGTGTATGTTTTTACGCCATATCAAGGCAAAATTAAATCAGCTGAGATTTCAGTATACATTATATATATTAAAAGCAATGTATCTCAACATTGGCCATTTTAAGATGGGTGGACTTCAATTCCCAGAATTCCTCAACCAGCATACAATAGAAAGATCATGATTATTCTCAAGAATCATTTGTACAAATATTCAGGTTTAATAGAACTGTTCTCCCACCCAGAGTTTTATGAAATTAGCAATTTATCTATTTCAATAATGTATATTTACAATGAATTTAGATGAGTTTATTCAGTCACAGATCTGTAACCTGTGGAATCTTTAAGATACTGGGATCAGATATATCAAACTAACTTTTTAAACGTATCAATCTGCAAAATCTCTTAGCAAAAAACATGTTATAATATGATAAATACCTTGTTTAAAATCACTATCAAACATGGCCTTCCTTCCAACATAGTATCTGTATGTTACTCTTTGTGCCATGCTATATTCATCCTTAAGGTTTGAGCTATCAATTGCTCTTATCAATGGTTTACACAGGTGAAGTTTATTGATCTGGAAAGAACAACAATATTAGCAAAGGGGAAGCTACATGTTGACAATCAATCTTGAGTTAAAAAGATAGAATTCATGATAAGATTTTCAAGGTTCATGTCATACCTTAAAATATATTTTAAATAATTGATTCACCAGAAATAACATGCCCCACTTTTTTGAATCGTCAATGCTGGCTCGACTGTAACAAATATTATAAAAATGATCAAAATTAATGTTTTGTCCTTAAACACACATATTAGGCTTTGAGTTACATTCCTAAACAAGTGTTTTTGCATACCAAAATCATAACCAAGGTCTGTAATCATTATAATCCTCTTTGTACATATCCAGAAACATTCTACTGAGCTCATCAAATCTAAAGTAGCATATATAAGAATCACCTTATAGGGGAGATGGGCCACGTAAAAAATTAATAAGTAAAATCATAATAAATATAAATGTTATGAAGGTCTGTTTCAATTGTGACATTTATTGATAAATTAATATTTACATTAATTTTCAACCCAACAAATTCAGACCTTAAGAGTGAGGAAACTTTGTCTTAAGAAAAATAACTTCTGCTTTGGATAAGTACAGTTAATGATTTGCCACAATAAAGCTCTGAAAGAATTCCGAATTCAACTTATGGGCAATTTCACAATTATCTCCTGAGCCAAGGAAGATTGGCATACAACAAGCCTACAGACCAATTTACAAAGTAAAAAAAAAAACGTAATCTACATTTCCAAATAATTTAACCTAGGACTAAGGATATACTCACGTGTCGCTTGCACATACACGAAAACAGCTCATAAGAAGTTCAGCTGCTTTTTCCAACATGTCACCAACTTTGCCTTTGCCTTTCTTTGCCAGTTGTTGATCAGCCTATCATGACACAATAGTGAGATACAATCACCCAGAATGTATAGTGTATACACAAGTGAGCAAATACCTTTGTGTATTCTTGAGCATGTTTCAGGCCAAGCTCAGAGCATCTCCATTTATTACTCAGTCCATCCCAATCTCTTCCATTCCTTCAGCATCTATAATTTTGGCCCAAGCAGCAATACTTACACTGTTGGCAAAAATTCGAAGATCAAGTGCCACTGCATACATAATAGGCAAAGCCCTGGCAAATGAGAATTCAACCCAGGGTTAATCTTGCAAACACTGAAAAATGATCTGCTGCTTACTTTTAAACACAGCAACAAAACATCTTTTATATTTATTATTGTAACATGGACAATGAAATTCTACAGTTTCTAATGAGTTCCTTTAATTTCCCCCAATATTCAGGATATAGAAAAAGCACACCAACATCCAAGCCCACATTTACCCAGGACAAATGAGGCCTTGAGAGATTTCATGGCTATTTCAAATTCTTCCATGGGCTTTTGTTAGTATTTGTTGAGGATAGTCAAATGGCTGAAAATTATAGGAAAAGGCTAGCTTAATGCAAATAAAATCAAATGTTGATTTTAGTTGTCTTTATATCTTTCTTCAATCTCCATGCCATTCTCTATGTATGACAAACTACTACTTTTGGTCCATTAAGAGATCACTTTACTTCTGTTTATCTTCAAAGTTGAGAAATATTTGAGATATTAAAATGGGTTATCTCTTGTCTTCCTCTTACCTACGTAAAATGGAATATTTCTCACCAGGCCAATTCATTTATATTTTGAGATATAGATTTATGTTAACCAGGTACTTACCAGTTTTCTTCTTTGTGTGCTTGAAAAGCTCTCAGGAAAGATGTAGAGAGTATAGGAAAATTTGATGAAATTTGATTCATTAAAAAAACATCATGCAATTTAGTGACACAACTTTAAGTGTGAACCCACAGCTTAACACTGATATAAAAAGGCAAGAATAATGTCCATGGTTTAATATGAACATTCAAAGGACTTACATGACAGAAGCCACTCACATTCTGATCAGAAGAGACAACAACTATTATTACACCATGCTGCTAATTACCAAATGTTAACATCCTCCTTATCTAGAAATGCAAATCTATTGACTATAAAAGCCAGGCATGAAGATTCTTACATTGGGTGTGTTTTGTATAATCAGCCCCCCATTAGATTGCCCAGAAATCTAACAAAGACACGATTCTTTAAGTATTTACATCCAACAGTATAGCTGACCCTATAGTATAGACAGACCCTGAGTTAAGTAGTAGATTGTACATTTACTTGGTCGTTAACCCAACACTGGTAATTCTGTAGTTTGTGCTGAAAGTTTAACTCCAAATTCCACTGCAGGTTTTTGGAAGAGTGAATGGTAAAGGATATTGTACAACAACTGTTTGGCATTTATACGCTTCTACAAAATCATGGTTGGCAACTGCATAAGTACATCTATTAAGAAAAATGAAACATGAATTTTAAATAATAACCAAAATTAATTTAGGTTATATTCTTTTTACTTCAATTTAATAAATCTTAACCATTTTTAAATCCAACTGTATTTCATGATTCTTGCTTCTTAGTAAACTTGTCTTGCAACTTAAATATCAGACTTCTTAAATGGCAACAAGTGATACCTAATTTCATTTGCTAAAAAGGGTAAGTGAGTAGAATGCTTACCTGATATATTTAGAATGTTTTATTTTTCTGCTTTAAAACTTTTCAGGTAAAAATCTATCTAAATATTTGTTTTGGAAAAACTGGTTTTAAAAAAATAACTATTCTTTTACACCATTTCAGCCACTTCTACACTTTCAGAATAATTGCTAAGATATCATTTTTTTTAGTGCAAGGTTCCATTTGTGACTACTTGGAATACTTGAAAGTAAGTGCACTGTGCTCCAGGGGGCATCTTATCCCACCCAATTTTACCTTAAATGAGCAGCAAACATCTCATCATAAGGTGGTTCCAACACTTGTTGACATTTTTCTTCTGGAGATGAAAGCTAGTTATAAAATAGAGACCATAGAGGAAAATAAGGCCTTGTTGGCCACAAAATAGTTTGACAAAAACTATGAAGCTGGAGAAGTACAACTTAACTGCCTATGTCTTTTTTTCTCATATAACAGAAAAAATAACAGAAATAATTTTATAAGTAAACTGCCTAGCCAAATTCTATTTTTAAGAAGTCCTGAAGATATTTACATCATTATTCTTTCAGTCAATGATATACAGCATGGGAGGAATTTGTCACTGTCATTGGAATCAGATTCAAGAGTGACTAAGGTTCACATTTTATAACAAGGATAAATCATACATGCAACTCAAACAAAGAAAGAAATGAGCCTCAGAAGGCAATTAGGTTTCAAAAGCTTAACATACAATGATGCATGCTAAACCAAATACTTTCATGAGGCAACATTTAATCTAGAAGCTGGTGATTAAAAACATTGTACAATATATTGATTTTAGAATCACAGAATTCTGGATTTAGAAGGAACCACAAAGATTATTTATTCTGATCCTTTGCAATGTATAGAAAAATAAGTTAAACCTTCTTTCATAGGCTGATATCCAACCTTTTTTTTAAAAGATGTCAAAACAGTTCTGTAGGAAGATTGTTGAATAGACCTTTTACATTGACTAAGTTATTGTAGATACCTCGTCATTAAAAACATAAGCAAACATTGCAATACCTTTTAGGCATGGAATCCATAGCAAATCAACAGTTCAAAGATGTATTTAAAGTATTTTCCATGGCTCTGATTATGGCTATCTAACAATCCTATATATTTCTATTTAGGAATAAATAGGTTATGTTCCTTTATTGAATTCAACAGGACTTCAATACATTTACAGGATTTCAGTCCAAATGTGTTACCTGCAGTCTTGGATTTGCAACATGAGGATGTTTAAATGACACTAATTCTGCACAAAACAATCCTTCTCTACTATCAATAGATTCTAGTACCTGTGAAAGAAAACAATATAAATTTAGTATTAGTTTAGAGGACCAATAAGAAAACTTTATTAAATCTTGGTAGTTTTGACTATGACCACCATAGTGCCCAGCAGTAGGGAGTAACATGTGACTTTCCAGATACTGCTGAATACAGTTCTCACCACTGATAATTGGAACTGGAGTCCATGAACATCTGGAAATCACATATTGTCCATGCATTTTTTATACTATGGAGAAACCTCTCAGAATCACTGAAGAAATAGAGCTGGGCCTTGGTACAAGTCTCATTTTTTAAAAACTAAAAATAGCAATGAAATAAAGAAAAGATATGACTAATTTAAAGTGAACTATTTCATTTGATTCTTTCTAATGAAAAATGAATTCAAAATGTCACTCATATAAATGAAACTTTCAGAGTCAGAGAGCTACACCTCCTGCCTTAATCAGTACAATAATTAAAAACATATTTTTTGAGATTGATTGTATTTATGTATATGTTGCCCACTCAAGTAAGAAAAATGAGGATAAGACTAATAGTAGAATAGGTGGCTATGTAATAACTGAATGGAAATTCAAACTCCCATTAGATTAGATTATCTGCTTAAGGGCTGATTCACTTTGTAAACTAAAAGTAGAGTACATAATAAATAATATTGATGTATCAGAAATATAGAAATACAGAAAAATTAAAGCACACAAGTATGAGTACTATTTTTTGTAGACAGTTTAAGGGTAACTTACACTAAAAATGAGTTTAAAATGCTTTTAACTGTTTGTTAAAGTCATGTTTAAAAGTAACAGAAGAGTGGACAAGGATCACTATTAACCCTTCATGAAATTTAGTCTATTAAAATATTACTTTTAACAGATAATCTCATGCAATTATTGAAGGCGAAATGTTTCTACTATTTCATGTACATTCCATAGAACATTATCAGGATTGGAATAGTTCTAGCCAAATTAGAAGAATTTTTCAAAATATACCAAAATGAATGATTAATAACAGATGATTTTTCTTCAAATTATACTTATGAATTACCTGCTGCAAATATTGGTTGATACTGATATGTGCCATTGAAAGAGTACTGCGTAAAATTAAGTGAATGCTTTAATCTGAAAAATAGTAGACATTAGTATGATAAACACAATAGTAGAACAAGTTAGCCAAATAACTTCACTGCTGCCATTACTTTTTCAATAATAATTCCAAATCCCATTCCTTAAAGCTCTGATCTACCATCCATAGAGGCGGCGCATCAGAATTTTCTCTGGGGGCCATTACCAATATAGTTGGAAGTACACTTATTAGTAATAGCTCCTTGCTTTTAGCTTCCCCATCGTTTAAACACTCATTTAAGGGTTGTTCTGTCTTCCCCAAATTGACTTCCTAGAGGCCAGCCTCCTTCAGCACATAGTAGTTGGATTCTCTCATCAATATATGTAGGTCCCAACTGTCATACTACAAAACTGATATATCAAAACTGATTTTTAATTTATATGATACACTAATAAAACTCTACATTAACTCATTGGATTAATTCAACTGTCCTTTTTAATCTGGCAGTGACTGATTACAGACAAACAGAAAAGGATAAGATCTTTGCAGGAAAGCTAAACTTAAAAGTTACAGGTATGGCTTTTGCTGTCAAGTCCGAGGAGGGATTAAGGGCGCGTTGGCAGATATTATTGAAAAACAGCTCCCGTCGGTGCTTCGAAGCAAAGCCGATGTGCAAATAACCAGAGCTGCATTAACAATACACTAGTCACGGTTGCTCATGGCTGCGAGACCTAATCAGCAGCGAAAATAAGAAGCGATCCTCTGCATATCCACCCAAGCCAGATTTAATAAGTGAAAAAGACGGAACCTTCTGGAACATAAGGACCAACACGTTTATTGCAGCAGCAGAAGCTTCGCACGAAAATATCTCGATTTCCGGAATCCACAACCGAACCTTTCCCGATCGCTAACAAACAGTCACGATGCCCCGGAACGCATGCGCACAACTCTCCTATTGGCTGCATTTTCTTCCAGCGCTGCCTACAGTACCATGAGCCCGATTCCTGAACTACGTCACTGCTGGATCGCCATACAGGCTCTGTTGTAGATAGACGGACCAAGCACAGCTTTCAGGCTCCTCTATTGCGGATTGGCTGTCTCCGATTTAATATTCCGCCTACTCCCAGGTCCCGCGACCTGCAGTGGAAGCGATTCCTAGGTACTAATCCAACCGAACGAGAAGGGCGTGTCGATGCAAATAAACGGGGTGGGGCTCAGCGAAAGCGAACGTTCGAAGCCATAAAAAATCTGGCGGCCACTAGAGGGCAGCAAAGAGGTAGTGACCTGGGGAGGTTTTTTTAGTCCATATTTCTAGTATTAGTTTTTCTCATATCTCCCAATTTAAAAGCCCAATATGGGTGCTTTTTGCTTAGGTTAAGCCAGTGTTTCCCAAACTTGACAATTTTAAGGCATGAGGACTTCAACTCCCAGAATTCCACAGCCAGCAACGCTGGCTGTGGAATTCTGGGAGTTGAAGTCCTCATGCCTTAAAATTGTCAAGTTTGGGAAACACTGGGTTAAGCTATCCGTTTGGTCAGCTAATTTCCAGGTTAAAGAAATACGTAACCTACGAATTAAAACAGAAGTAAACGTTTAGTTGCGTTTAGAGTAAACCTGTTGTCATTTAAGCGAATATAGTTCTGATTTTATGCAATTCTCAATTTTCCTAAGGAGACGAGGGAAAAATAAAGCCCACGAAGAGGAATGTCCTGCAAAAGCTTTATTTAACCACAAGCCATTTGTTCGGATTGCACGCCTTGGCTACCATTAAGGCAGCGCAGAGTTTTAGGCAGATTCTGTGCAGGCTGACTCCTGGCTGTGTCGGGGCCGAATGTATCAGTGGATCGGCGCTATAACTAGCGAGGAGGAAGATCATATTGAAGGAAGACGAGGGAAGCCTGTGGGGCTCGTTTGTTAGGCTGTTCAGACGACGAAATGGACTCGAGTCTGCGAGAACATCTCCCTCGAGCGAGAGGCAGAGGAGCCATTTTGAGAGGCGCCGCGGGGAAAGGCCCGGGGGGTGCATCGAGCGAGAAAAGGGAGCACTCTTCTGCAGCCGCGGCAGCTCTTGGGTGAAACAGCGCGGCGCTTCTGGAACTTGTGAGCAAACTGCCATTTCCACGAGAAGTCATTTACCTGAATTGTTGATCATTTGTAAAACCCCAGAACCCAAACTGGAGGATGGATGGATGGGTCCCCTTTCAAAAGCCTTTGCCTTTTCGCTTCGACCAGTCGGCAACTGGTTTCTTTGCCGCAACTGGTTTCTCAGATGAGTGGATCCTGCGATCCGCCAAAACCAACAGCAGCATTTCTCAGTCCGGCCCTCCCCTCTTGATCGAGTTAGCGAGCACCAATGGGAAAAAAAAATGCAATCGAAAGGTTTAGTAATTTTAAGGGTTTTGTTTGTAGATTTCTTTTCCGCCCATTTGCTTTTATAATAGAATGGTCCGGTGCCGTTCAATTAGATTGGTTGAGTGCCATCAAATCTTTTTCAATTCCTGAAGACTCCGTAGATTTTTTTCCCATGAGGATCTATCCCAGCCTGTTCTTTCAAGTCTCCCAGCGGTGAACCATGAATTATCCCCTCTAACTCAAGCCACCCACCTTGCTGGTGGTCATCACCTTTTTCTCTTTCCTTCCACCTTTCTCAGCATTAGAGTCTTTTCCACAGAACTAGGTCTTTGCATAATGTGTCTGAAATGGAATGATTTGTTTCAAGTGAGAACTCTTGAGTTGATTTTGTTCGATGATCCATCAGTTTGTTTTTTGGCTGTCCATGGTATTTTAAGAAAATAATATAATTATATTAACCTAAATATGTTAGGTTTTATTAGACTTATTGTGGCTAAGTATTTAACTAAGTCTTTAGGAGTCATGAGCTCTCAGATATTGATTTCCTGTAGCCACAGGTGCAACTGGTCACTCTAGTTTGACAACCTAGTTGTCTGCCAAAATACTTTGTTCTATACAGTATAGTACTTTTAAAGTCTTAACAAGTTATCCTCTCTAGCTTTGAATCTTGGAATCCTAAACAATCATGTCTATCTGTTAATCTCATCTACAGTGTAAACTTCTACATCTACTGGAAGAATTGTTCTGTTCAACAGACTTTCATGATCACATGAGTGTGCATAGGATTGGAGTCAACTTAATGTGAGAGTAAAGCCATAATGTCTTGTCCAGGTTTTCTCATGTATATTCCCTTGAGGTAAAAGGATATTAACCTTTGAATGTTGTCCTGGGAGGTTAGAACATTTTCACGCAACTATACAAAAGTCTCGTATAGTATCCTGTCCCTTCTGACTTCACCAGTTAGATCTGTTTATTTATTTGTGCCATTTCTGTGCCACTGACTTTCAAATGTAGAATTACATAAAATCATAAAATTATAGCTATATTACCACCACCACCATTAATGAAATCTGGTATCCCACAGCAACTTCCTTCACTTCATCCATTAAAAGTGCTGCTTTTGCATTCCATTTTGCACATGTTGAATTGTAAACCTTGTGATTTTTGAAGACTCTCAACTTTCACTGCTATTATACTTCCCATATGAATCTGAGTCATGTTAACTCTGAAAGCATTTTTTATTTTTACAGGACTTAGTTTGTACCAAGTGCAATACATGTGTGTTTGTACATGTTACAATTGTGCTGGCATGCAAAGAAGAGCTACACCTGGGCTTGTTCCTGCAATGCAAACACCCCTGGCCTTGTGACTAGGGTCATTATTGCTTGTCATGCAGATTACCAACTATGAGAGTTGGCAAAGTGCAAGAATAAAGGGAAGGTGTTTGGCATTGAGCCTAGGTTACATCAGAATCTGGCAGCCATTTGAGAACTGAGGCTGTCTATTTGCTGAAATGTGACATTCTTGAACTTTTCTTCATCTTATTTATTTAGTGTATTTGTGGATATCCCTGCTGTTTAATGAGTATTTGAAAATAAGCAAACATGGAAAAAAGATATACTAGAATCAATTACATTCTTTGCTTTAGATTCTAATGCTACTAACTTTTTAGGACACAAAATATATTTGTGTTTGAAACAGGAAGCTTTCAGTATCCATGGGTCTTTGCTATAGGCCTCACCACTTTGTTACAACCTGCAGGAAAAATGTAGTTGCTTTTATTACAAAGGCAGTTTGGAATCTTTTCTTTAGCATACCTATTATTTGGTATGAATGCTTTTTGTTGACAGCTCACTGAAAAATTGGAATTGATCAAAGTAAAGCCTGCTAGTATGAATAATGAGATAACACATCTATTTCTGGGTTTTCTAAATCTTTAATAAGGCATCATGTATTTGCCTGTAAGTTGCTCATTTCCTCTCCTCCTCTTTGATGTTTGACATAAAGAAATACAAAATAAACTCAGGGGCATATTCCCATGGTGAATTATATAAATTTTATGCTACAGGAAGAATTATTACTTAAAGACATTTCTATGCATATTTTGTCTATAGTGTATTCCAAAATGATCAGCAGGTCTTAAGTAATTATGATAAGACTGAAGTTTTTAAGGTTTTTGCCTCATTCTCTGACAACTATTGCTTCCTTAAAAATGTTGCTCAATATGAATAATAGCACTCATTGCGTTCATACATGAAACCGTATCTTGGTTATCATTGGAGTACTGGATTTTGAAGTATCAAAAGCAACTTCTCTGTGCTTGCAACTATGACCAAGCATGTTCATTTAATACTATATTGAATATAGATTCACAAAATGTAAATCCTTTAAGAGGAGTTTAAAAAATGATACAAGTAGGTTCAAAACGCTGTACTGCTTTTTTAACACATCCATACATAATGCACACCCATGAGCTATTTCCTTTTGAGGTAAGAACATTTACCACAGTACAGAAAATAAGAAAAGATACTTAAAACTGTGAGATAAAAGGGGGGGGGAGGAAATACAGCTAAATATAATTTATATCAATGTTTACAGCTAAATATAATTTTGCTATACTTCACCTTATGACATTCTTCTGTTAGGCACCTACATAGTTTTTACACTCATGTGAAACAGATTGCACAATTCATAAGCAAGCTGTATCTATATTTTAACATTATTTCAGTCACTGTGTCTACATTTTTCAACATTCTTAACAGCATTTATGACTTCTTTTGCAATATTTGTTTCTTGGACATTAAATGTACAGCATTCATTTAAATTCCATTCTTCAACATATCGTTATATTCCCTTACAAATCTCTAAAATAATCCTCCCACCATTCTCTCACTTGTTTCATACCAAATCACTTCATCATTTTTATTTTTAATCCATTAACTCTATTAATTTAATAAGATCGCGACTGTAGCATAAAAGTAGAGTCAGTTAATTCTAGATCATCCATTAGCTCCTCCTGTTCCTTATATTGTAGTTTGTATATGCAGCCTAATGCATATTTATGTTTATTTGGGAGTAAACTCCTTGTAGTTTGGAAGATATTTTCAGTCTTCTAAATGGCCAAACATTTTGGCTTATATTAGACAGTGGATTGATATATAAACATAATTTCACAAAATTGCCCCCTTTTGAATATAACATTAAGAGATTTGGCATTGGCATTGTGATGTTAAAGAAATTAATTTGATGTTGAATCTTATAACAGCTGCAAGATTATTGGTCGGGCAATATTGGAAGAAAGATTCTTTGCCCAGTATGGAAGAATGGATTCTTAAGGTGTCTAATTTAGCAGAAATGGCAAAAATTTCTGCTTATTTGAAGGACTATTCACAAGAAAGATATATTTCGGTTTGGAGAAGATGGATAGACTATATTCAAAATAAATATGGGAATAAAAAGTTTCATTTACTTTTTGAATAATGAGTATTATTGTTACTATTACTAGTATTATTATTATTAATAGTTTATTATAGTGGACTTTTTATTATATCGTATTGTTTAAGAATTAGGATATTAATTTGTTTATGTATTATGCTTATTTAGAATTTGTTTATTTTATGTTAAAAGGGAGTTAAAGTGTATTATGGATTTAGTTTTTATATAGTTGGTTAATGTTATTTAGATTATGATTGTCATATTTGTAACCCTGTATTCAGCTCTGGTCAAGAAGCAACAGTGAGAACCGAACACGGAACCACTGATTGGTTCAAAATTGGAAAAGGAG